AGATGTTCAACAGTGGTGTTTGTCTGACCAAATGATGCTTTTACTAACTTCTGGTCGTCTTATGAAAAGAGAGCTCAGAAGACTCCAATTAATCAATGGTGTGAAGTTCTTCAACCGGGGCTTTCACTACTTTCTGTCGTCTTATGGAAAGAGAGCTCAGAAAGGTTCAATTAACCAGTGAGAATTCTTGAGCTGACGCTTTTACTAACTTCTGTCGTCTTACGGAAAGAGAGTTCAGAAGGTTTCAATAAATCAGTGAAAAATCTGCCAACTAATGCTTTTACTACCTCCTGGTCGTCTTACGAAAAGAGAGCTCAGAGGGGTTCAATTAGTGGAGAAGTTCTACAGCTGGGGCTTTTACTACTTGCTGGTCGTCTTGCGGAAAGAGAGCTCAGAAAGGTTCAATTAACCAGTGAGAATACTGCTAATTAACGCTTTTACTACCTCCTGGTCGTCTTACGAAAAGAGGGAGGGCGTGCAGGATCCTCCAAAGACCCGCCGCTTCTTCTGCCCTTGGGAGGCAATAATCTCTTCGCGCCTACCTCGCGCTTGCTTCGCACTGGTCTCGCACATTCCTGCGATAGTTTCCCTCCGAACAATCGTCTTGTTGATCCCAGCAATGATTAGAAGGTCACTGCTTGAACGAGGATTTTTTTGATGATAACAAAAGATGAAGAAAACTTTCAGTATTCAACAAACTAGATTATTAAAAACTCCTCTATCAAAGATCTCGATACAGATTCGGCTTGTTGTGTTGAATTCAGACTGAGAACGGCTGTATTTTTGCTTTTCCGACCCTTTAAATTTCGAATTTGACAAATTTTCGAGAAAAAGAAAACTTTCTCTGCTTCGCTACCAAAAAACAACTCCGTGCATATTTGTAGCTTACTATCTATTCTACATTATGCTCAAGAATGCATCACATTCAAAAAGAGAAAAGTAACAAAAATAGTTGCAAAACTTATATGCCGACCTATCACATTCAGGTGTGGCTATTGAGATGTGGTAGATAAACAAGGCAGAACGGTGATCATGTTTTCTTATCAGCGGAGTTAAGCCATGAACATATTTTTGGAGTTATAACTTCAAAAGTGTATAGCATTTTTTGGGAGTTCAATGGGTTCGCTGTACCTAAACTTTTGTCCTTATGGAACTGATGCTTCAAATGAATATATGATTCAGCAGGACTACAATCACAGCAAAAAATTTCTCTCTTAGATGCCTTGTTTCTGCGAAGCTCCCTTGGAAAAAGTTTAGAACTTTTCTTACTGACAAATTGCATGCATTCTGAGCTGCAAAATAATTTCCACCGAAACGATGCAGACTCAATTAAAATAATTGTTAAGCATCGTACATAGTCTGATGTCATTAGTATATTTTCGAGTGTTTTCCGGCCATGCTGCTGTCCATATGCCTTTTCTTTCTGGACTACACTTTCATTAATAAATATAAAAAAGCTATAACTTTTCTTGAGGAAAAGATTCTGTGTGTAAAAGTCAGCATTTCGAGCTCTATATATTGGTATGCATCAACTTCCATCTTGCCACTTCGACTAACAAGGAAAGTACTTTCGATGGCCGTGGCCTTTTGATATGGGATGCATACCACCTGAAGCAGCTTCGAACGCTGATTTCAAATCTGCTTTCCTTTTCTGCGGAGCGCTCTTCTGAAGAGCGTTATGGAACCCTGAATATCCTGTTTTGGGGCGCTCCTTGAGTTTGAGGACGCTGCTACGTACAGGCGATGTCAAAAACCTATTCCCTTTTGTACAGTCCTCGATTTGCATGCACGCACCGCAAATCCCGTGCGCCACATGCGCGAGCGGACGGCAGGGCATTTTGCCAACTCCCACAGACGTCATCGATCGATGGTTGGCAAGGGCCCAAGCCGTACGCACGCGAACGGAGCGCATCAGCCTTGCGATGCGTACACGTAAGAGCTACGGACTTGTGAGCTCCTCATTAACATGCACTGTACGTTGGTGGTGCAACGGTGTAATGGTTAGTTGTTGGCAATAAAGGCCAAAGGTCGATGGTGCGAATCCGGTTTGATTGGACTCATTTGAAAGATTTTGAATACATTTGAAACGCCATTCCAATATTGTTCCCCTACTAACTTAATGGGTACTTGCGAACATGAGAATTGCGGAGGTTCTCTTCGTACGCTGTTCCCGTTGTAAGAAAAGTCTATGTTTTGCTCACTTTGTAATTTCGCTTCACCTTTGTACATGAATTTTTTTGCAGAGGAAACCAAATCTCAGCAAGCAAGCGGTTCTGCCAGAAAAGTCCTTTTTTAAGTCACATTTAAGCGTATTACATTAAGTGGTTGCAGACGAATTAGAGTGGTTTTTGAACTCGCATTCATAGTGCAAAATGGTGTGCTCTGCACTGGATTCGAACCACCGACCTTTCATCTTCAATGCCAACAACTAACCATTACATCACTGCACCACCAATGCACATATCAGCGCTCTCTGACTCAAGAATCGCCCCCAAAATAGGATTTTCAGGCTTCCATAACTCTCTTCAGAAGAGCGCTCCGCAGAAAAGGAAAGCGGACTTAGAATCAGCGTTCGAAGCTGCTTCAGAGGATATGCATCTCATATCAAAAGGCCACGGCCATTGAAAGTACCTTCCTCGTAAGTGACTTCCCTGGCAAGAGGCATTTTTATTGTCAGTCTACTTTTGTTATTTTATCAGTTTCCACAGCTTTTTCTTTTTCTTGTTATCATTGAAGTCCGGAGGGAAACTATCGCAGGAATACGCGAGACAAGGCGAAGCAAGCGCGAGGTAGGCGTGAAGAGATTATTGCCTCTCAAGGGCGCGCCTGGAGAAGAAGCGGCAGGCCTTTGGAGGATCCTGATATGCCGCCCGAAAAGAGAGCTCAGAAGGGTTCAATGAACTAGTGCAGGTGCTGCCACGCGGGCTTAGGCCTTGAATTCCCGTTCCTTAGGTAAAGGACTTGCTGAGGAATTGCAAGGAAGTTCACTGGACGATGCATCAATTTGATGTGTACCAAGTGAAGTAGGGTGGACGAAGTTGTGTGGAATATTTATTCACGCTGACGTAGATTAGTTGAAAGCGATGTCGAGGTGCCCGATGTGAACCGGGGAGGAACCTCTAATACATTCGGAGGCGCCTTATATACAAAGAAAGGCGGAGCCAAACCGAGTATAAGGTACAAAGTATACGAGTTGGTGCTTAAAAGGAGATGCCGTCGATTGGCTTCACTCCTGGCGCACAGGTACCACTCACTCTTGAGTGATGATTAGATACTCGATGGGATCCGTAGGCTATACAGATTATAGAGTTCATCAATGGTTGATGATCCAGAAATCATCAACAGGAGTCAGCAGGTGGGCGGGGTTTTCCACACTACGAATTCAGGCTCCCAGTTTCCGGTACAATCTTATCGACTCGCTAGCGGCCCTGACATCGCCACGTTCAAGTGCGAACGCGTGACTTGAAATCGAGACCGAGGAGATTGCTCCGGAGGCTGGGAGCGTGAGTTTACAGTAGGGTAATAAGGAAGACCCCGTCCACCTGCCTTTTCCTTCCTGTGTTAGAGCCCTTCTTCGCCGTTTTCGTCTCCAGCATGGATTTTCGGATTCAGCATAGCAAATAGACCCGGGTAAGCACAAAATCTCGATCGAAGGCGTACAGAGTTTTTCCCTGATTTTTTTTTTCGACATTGTTTGGAAAGGGGTTCTTCCGCCATTGAATACAGCGGCGCGGCAAAAGGAACCCGTGATTTTATTGGTATTACGTATACTGGAACTTCTAATCAGTGGGCGTCAGTGTTGGCAATTGAATCGCGTTTTGGAAATTAGAGCATGAATAGGCAGATAGTGTTTCTACGCCGCACTTGGAGTATTTATTACCTAGCACCATCAAAATCTGACAGAGGTCCATGAAGAGCCACCGCCGAAAAAGGAGTTACATTAATTTGAGGATCTTAACCTTCGAATGAGGAAGGAGGAACTTGGAAGGGACTAACTAAAAACACACACTATACTTCTTACTCTTTACGATCCTTCTCTCATTATGACATCTTTTCATACTCCTCTTCCTGATAAAGTGCCGCACGCTGCAGTTTGACGCTGACGGAAATCAACTTTAGCGCCGAAGGCGATGTGAAAAAGAAAACAGCGTTTTTCAAGTGATGAGAATAGCATTAGCCAGTTTCTCGAAAATTTTTTCGAATGCTTCTCGAACTGCCGTCCTGATCATCCCAGGAGTTTAGGAATTTTAGTGACCTTTGTGGGACTTTTTTGAGCAGCAATCCTTCTGGAAGTTTTATTCATAGATTGAAAATTTATTTCGACATCTTATCTATAAAGCTGAATGTGTGTCTGTATGTATCGTTTATTCGTTGACCGTAACGACTGCTGACCGCGCGGCGACCGCTGCGCGTGCATGATGTTTTCGTAGAAAAGATGAATAGAAAGAAAACAGAGGATTCTTCTCATCTTTATAATGTAGAAAAGAAACAAAGAATTCTTCTCATCTTAAGCCACGGTCCAACTTGTCACTTTTTCGCAAGTTTAGAAGGCACGCGTCGCAGTCGCCACGCGGTCGGCAGTCCGTACGGTCAGCGAATGAACGATATGTATGTATGTATGTCTGTACGTATGTTCCGAATAGAAAATTCCATTTCTGAACCGATCCGGACCAAACTTGGCACACATACACTTCGGAGCAGGGAGCGTGTCATAGGCTACTTTTTATATCGATCGATATCGATTTTATCGATTTTTTTGCAAAGTTTGGGGTACGGGGCTGGGAGTTGGCACAGGGGGGTAATCGAGCATGATTACAAATATGTTATTGACATTGCCGGGCGGAGCCGGGTTTGCCAACTAGTTTCAAATATTTGTAAAAGTAGTCTACCTGCAGTACCTCGTGCATGAATCTAAAAGTCTTGCCCGATAAGTTAGTTTCGGTGACAATTATCTATTACGAGAAGAGTGCAATAACTGACAAAATGCTCTCCTACATTCCATGAATCTGCGTTTTCATGTTGCCGAAGCATCGAACTTTGTCGCATTGGCTATACCATTGCTATCGTGCATTTCGCTTCTATGCACGCTTTTCACAGCATATCAAACATGGCGATACCGTCAATCCGTGGACAATGCTGAAAATCAAGTGATGGGCTTGTTGGACGAGGTTAGCAGCACATGATGTTTTTACCGCATAGTCAGTAACAGAAATGAGATTTTGGAAAGCAAGATGATTGCTACCAATAGTGGTGACCACATAAAAAAACATTTCAAAACCGATTTTCATCAGTGTTTTGAGATTATATTTCCTGAACTTAATGTACTTGTGCAATATGCAGATATAGAACTTTGAAAGGGCTGAAGCTTCAATAAATTCATTTTTACAGTCATCGATCTTTCAATTCGAGCTTTCCATTTCGTAAACTACTCTGCAATCAGTGCTCACCTTCATAAATTGGCTCAAAATTTCTAAACTTTCTAGCGAAAATTTTTTTGAAGGCACTGCAAAATATGCTACCAGTTGGAGTTTGCAAACGAATTTGTCAGCCAAACCTCAGCATACCACTAGACAATAATGATTCAAAAGGTAGGTAAAAATCAAATGTTGTACCCCTACCCTTAGAACATCTCGCCATGAATCACAATGCTTGATGTCCGGGTTCTTTCTAGAAAATTTCCAGTGATGCTAAAGAAGCAGAGTGCTCCCAAGCAGCTTGAGTATCCGGAAGATGTTTCTGTTCCAATTGCCGACGAAGACGAAGTTTACGACACTTTTGGACGTAGATTTTGTTCTTTTACTTTTTTTCAATAAAAAGAGACCCCGATGATTACATATTAGATTAGTAGAACTTATTTCTACGACCAAATTCTATTCAAATATTCCCATGACTTTCTAAAAGAGACCTCAACTTCGAATTCAAAAGTTATTCGCAAATTTCACTGTCGCACTTTAGTTAGGAAGAGCGAGGCAAACCTTGAATCAACTTGCCAACAGATAATCGCACTTGCTTTGAGAAGTAGAGAAAAGACACAACATACAATAGCCAAAGGACCGGCAAGTTTGAATCTTCAGACAATAACCTGTAAACATAAAACAATCCAGATGAACATCGCACCAACAACGAAAACTGAGAGAACTGCATCACTCATGTCCAGGGTAAGTAATATTGTTGCTGGCTTTGTCTGTAAGAATTACCTGTAGTAATTGCAGACGCAGTCTCAGCGGGATTCAGTGAGTAGATATATATTTCCGCGAATAACACCATAGTTTATTATGACATACATAGGAGCGAAAAACAGATTCAAAACGATCCGAAAGCAGTGGAAAAAGGAAACATACGGCAAGTGTTATATTTTATGAAGGTGTTTGTTCCCATCCTGAGTGTCGGGGTCGGCGCGTCTCGCGTCCTCGCGAGCCCCTCTCTTGGGCCACTCGTCGCATTCGCGAACGTGTCTCGGGACATTTTGTATACACCGTGTTCTTAGGCGCCAATGGCTGTCGAGCTTGGGAAACCGCGCCGATCGCGATACTTAAAACGAGATCCCGTGTCATCTAGTCGCGGTGCGGTGTTCAAATTTATCGCAGAAAATGGCGAAATGATGGGCTAGCGCATAAATGAGAGATATTCAGATTGTTCATCAATGACCAGCTCACCTCGAGCGTTAAAGGCAGTGGCTCGGGGAAATTGCAACTGCGCGCTTTCTGTTCCTCTTTAGCATTCTGGATGCGTTTAGACCAGAGTTGTGCTTGAAAAGTCAACAAGTACTTTTTATGGCGTTTTCCGGCATTGGAGATTGCTGAGGAGGTTGGGGCGGAGATTCCTGCCAAAAACAGTGACTGGCTGCAGGAGACTGTAACACCACTCATTTTGGCGGCAGTTGGCTGATTGGCTCGGGCAGCCAATCGCGACTCGGCTGCGGGAATCTCCGCTCCAGCCTCCTCAGCAATCTCCAATGCCGGAAAACGCCATAAAAAGTACTTGTTGATTTTTCAAGCACAGCTCTGGTCTAAACGCATCCAGATGGTCAAGGAGGAACAGAGAGCGCGCAGTTGCAATTTTCCCGAACCACTGCCTTTGAATACTGCATGAGGGCAAGTCAAACTCGTATACACCAGAAACTTTCTGCATATGATCGGCTCCCAGATTCGTCCACACGGATCTGGAAGCCGATGATAATTACAAATGTACTCTAGAGCCTGCCAAACTTGACAAAACTAGAGCTTTAAACTGGTCAAGCAAATTCATTTCCTCATCAGGCTTATGAGAACAAAAATTTGTCATTCTCTGCGATCGTGAAATAAAGCATACTCAACAATAAGCGACCTTCCAAAACAGAGAACGCCTTTCCTTAGATCGTTGAGGGGACTGGTCTTTCAATTCCTAGAGATTTGAGATGAATCAAAGAGGAACGGAGTTCTCGTCCAAATAAAAAAAGATTTGAACAAAATGTGTCAAGTTTTCTATTCCCAATTGGGGATCTACATTGATCTGGCAAGGTAGCTTTGACAACGCAATGCAATGCTATGTCTACTAAATACAGACAGCCATATCCGCAGAACATGATAACTGTGTTAAGTATTCCACCTTCCAAAACGTAGGGTGTGGTTGCTACTGCGTCCCTTCTTATCTGTAATGGCTGCTACCGCTTATTTGCCAGAAAACAAAATTGATGCAAATTCGTGAGCTACACAAATTCCATCACGGCCCGTATAAGGAGTGTGAGAACCGTTTTTGAGGCAATGAGCGAAAGAGGAAAAAGTGCAGGTTCCCACTGTTCAGGATCGAGCGCATACTATCCGCATACTATCTTATGTAGTTAAGTTACTCGCTAGTGCCAAAATACGAGCTTATGCCGAATCAGGATCTCCTCTTATTGCAGTCTACTACGCCAAAGTCGGAGCAGGATACTAGAGAAAATTCACATAGAATGCTGAAAGAGCTTTCAGTGAGTCAGGAGACATCATGTCATGATGATGTCTGATGATGATGATATCTTGATGCATGCTAAGCGACACTGATTTCAGATGAAGTACACTGAAAAAACATGCGTGGAAGAATGACTTCGCATCGAAAATCCCACTACAACAGTATGAGATGATACTTTATTCAAAAACGATGATAACAATTATAAACCTGTACTTCTTCATAAGATCAGACGTTCCACATGACAATAAGAACAGAATTTGCAGCGGAAATAATGGAAATGACAACAGCATTGGCCTATATACATATATACGCTTCCTAGCGTATTTCGAGTTTATCGAGCTCCACGGATACAAAATCATTTTTTACATAGAAGTCTGAAAAGGACCGTTAACATCTTCAGTCTGAGCTCTTGTGATGCACAAAAAAAAATCACAACCGACAAACAAATAATGCAACTGAACGAAAACATCTTTCAGTCTTCAGGTACATAAAATTAAAGCTATAAAATGCATTTTTTCGAATGTGTCAGTCAAGATATTCGTCTCCCTCCTCTTCTTCAACCTCATCTCCACCTCCTTCAGCATGCTCCTGCAAAAATTTATTCTTACGCTGAGAAAAAAAGTCTACACCAAACTATGGACATCATATCAAATAGTTTTGCTATGTTACACGACCTACGCCTGTCTTCGAACATGTCTCAAATTTATTTGATAAATGCATACAGAGAAAATTAAGGCAATTTTGAGAACCGTTAGATGCAAAAAACGACAGGGTAAAGTATTACTTGATTTCACTTTCTTGAAATCATCTATTTGGAATAGTTCTGGAGTTGTAACATGCAGATGCGTACAGCAGAAGTCAAATTGCCGCTGACACAATGTAACTCAAACAGTATCCTTGAGACACTAACGAATGTCGAAAGTCAGATGAGAAGATTTTACCACACCTTATCCCAGGGCAGTATGTACTTGATTTCCTGATTATCGGGTGCTGGTTCTTTTGCTGTTGGTGTAGCGGCAGGAGAAACTTCCACTTTAGTTGAAGGAACATCTTTGGATTTTGCAGCAGCTCCGGTCCCATTTGAAGACTTTGCAGGCTTTGGATTAGCGGTCTGCACTGGTGCAGGTGGCTGAATGCATTTAGTTAGAGCTTGCGAAGTTCTACAGTACCTAATGAATGTAAAAATAGGAGTACCACTATTTTCTCCTTCTTATTCTCCAAAGCTTTTGCTACGGGTTTTTCGGGAACGCTGAGACCTTCAGCTTCTTCGTCAAGAGTTACTGTGACTTTCTGAAAAATTGAAGCTCATGTATATAGATATGCATGCACTCTACTCAACAACTTACCTCGTTACCAAGAGCATTCATTGTCAGAGCATATTCATATCGAGAACACAAGTCACTCTTACCAGTACTAGACGAAAACTAAAACAACAAAATGGATCAGTGAGCAACATAATAAAAACAGCACCTTGATATCGCCAATCCAAATCGTAGTAGGCTCGAGTATCTCCACAAAGTTTTGCAAATTATTTCGGCAGCCCTCAGGGTCCTGTAAGTGTTTGTAAGCAGTAATAAGTGGATTGCATGTTATTTAGCATAAAATTATCAAATAATTCAGAAAGTTTCTAATAACTCCGCTTTGTGCAAATCTCTCAATAAGATTATTTCCAATATATGTGCACCATGACATTCAGAAGTTATTCAGACCAAAGCTTTGGGGCTTGCTAAATCCACATTCTAACACAAACTGACATAACGTCCAATATGGTAGAGTTTTTGAAAACCCGCTTGTTGATCATAATTGGAAATTGGAAATTGCTTTGGAAATTGCCAATAACTTTTGCGATATTTTGCATTATAATAGTAAGTCGTAAGTCATAAAAGGAAAAACGATTAGATAGCACATCAATATCATGTGGTAATTGGAAAAATTCTATCATGTTTACTTCGATACTGAGTACTGTTGGCTAGTGTGATTACATTCTTGTTTCAAAGAAAAAACAAAATAGGTAATCATCAAGGTGCGGTGCTTAGCTACTCATGACATTTCGAGCTTCTGAAATTTCAAGAGTTTGGAGAGGGGGATTATGAATGAGCGATAAATCTACAGTATCATTACGAGGGTTCCACTAGTAAGGTATTACAGACATCTTGATTCAATCCAAAGAGCAGAATGTCGAACTGCGCTTACCTCATAATCTAGGAAAATATGCAAAGGAAGAGGTATAGGGTGTGTACGCCAAACATCCTCATTCAACCTGCGAACCATTGAAAGCAGTTGTTCATTGAGCTTTTTCTTTGCAGATTTCTGAACAGAGCATGGACATTTTTAGAAATTCAAAAAACTCGACTAACTTCGCATCCGGTTATCAGCGCCCGATATCTTCGAATCATCATTTCAAATCGCTGCAGTAAAGGTTTGATAACTTTCTCAACATAAGGAAGTCGTGCCTGTAAGAGGAATGAGGCAATAAAGAAAATTGAACTTCGCTTTGAGTCGCTTCTATATCCAAGGTTCCATGAACCCAAAAACAATAAAGGCAACAACCCTACCATAGCAAAGTTTTCGCCTTCGATATCCATTTGAAACCGCCTAGCAACGAACTCGTTCAGCGATGGAAGAACAAAGGCACCTTTCAAAAGCTTCAGATACAGGGAGCAAAGGGCTATCTTGTATGCCACCCTGTAAAGGATATTTTTGGCTAAACCATGATTCACATCAGATGAAAACGAACTGTTCATCAATGTCGAGTGCTCTCCCATGCAGTAGATCACCTGATTCGCCCGAAAATTTTAGCTCGAAGAAAAACTCCGAGTTTGCTGAAATGATGCATAATTAGCGAAATGAGTTTGAATTGAGGAATGTCACGGAACATGTTTCCTATCAAACCGGTTTTGTCAAAACTCAAGATACCCTACGATTGATCCCTTTGGGAAAAATCGCCTTCTGAGTTCATTTACTCAAAGCAATTTGAAGCATAAAGTTGACGTTGATTTTTTATTGTTGATTATTTGTGTGTTTGGGTCAGAATAATATCAAATCACCGCTAGTCACTGGAAGAAAAGTGAAGAATTTCTCTTAGCACCAACCTGATACTATTCTACTGTGATGAGGCAATAAATCCGAAAAAAGACAAGTTCAAGAAGTATGAATAAATGACTACTGAAGCAGCAAAATTGAAGCTAATCATTCGTTTGCGACAAATGATACAACCATTAATGCGAATAAGCGCGCGAATTGTGCCAAGTGGCGGAGTTATTTGGATGTACAAATGACTTCTATCGGGTGTGATGATAGTCAGTAGACTTTCTCACCCTGCTCTTCACGGACAATCAGCTTTCGTGAGATACTGCTAGCCAAACTTTCAACGAACTGGCGCATATTGGCAGCACATTCGTCCGAGAGCACATCTTCGTAGAACACTGCGCAAGCTTCTTCCAAAGACGTACATTTTGGAGGATTTTTCTTCTGCAAGTGAGACATCAGATGCTATAAATCGCATAACTACAAGCAAATTTGCTTCGCTGACCTCTTTTACAACCACTTTCTCCCAAGGAGGTACTTTTGACGTGACGGGAAGTAAACTGCTCTCTTCAAAGTACTCCACTTCTGATGCAGCAGGTTTGAAGTCATCCTATAATCATACTTACTAGTTCGCTCGCTAACAAGCGATCAGTCTTTGCAACTAACCCATCTTTCAAAACCCTCAATAGGTACGAAGATAAAATAACATCGGCTTTTGAATCCGCTGATAGGAAGGGGTATTGACTTTGGAACCCCGACAAGCTGATGATCGGACCAATAACGTAGGGCAGTGTCACGCATTACTCGAGCAAACTCGTACGCGACTGAGAACTTGGAATGCGGGACGTCTTGATTAGTCGTCCGGTAAAGATCTGCCTTTGCCAAGGTATTCAGTGAGTAGAATACGGCTGTAATGGCATTAGAACTTGGGACATTCTCCAAACAATTTTTTGAAACTTACGGTTGTTGATTAGTTTTTGGAATATAGCAAATCGTTCACGACAAACATACAGAACCGGATCAATCCACTCCTGAATCATGTTTGAAATTGCCAATGAAAGGTGTTTTGAGTAGATCAAGGATATTGGTACGCTTTGCACGTGCCCCTGAGTTGTCTCACATATACGATATACCCAATCTCGTTAGTTTGCTCCAAAAACCACACTCTTCAACATATAGGAGATTTTGGTTTTTGCGGCAGCAAAGGCTTTCCTAACAGAAGCTACGTTTAGAGGGAAGCAGGACTCGACCTTCGATTTGTCCCTCGCCAAAAACTTGAGATGCTAGGATGAAATCGGATGAGGTGCTCATATCTTTTAAAGGCAGCGTACACCCAAAATCTAAGTTACCAAATTCTCTATACCGTGTATATCTAAGACCCAGAAGAAGACCAATTGCGTTAATCCTTTCTCACAATGTTGCTTCTGAGCGGAGAAAATCCGCCTAGTTCTTCTTTCATTCGCCCCTTTTCTTTCACTCCGCCTCCTTCGGACGAAATCCACGTCAGCGTAAGCTGCAATTGCCGTTGCAGTTAGTTGCACCTGCTGTTGCAAACGCAACAGCAGATGCAACAAAGCAGTTGCTTCTTGCGGTCCGCCTCCTTCGGAAGACGAATCCACGACAACATAGGTACGCTGCATTTGCAGTTGCAACTGCAGGCTGTCATGCAGTTGCAGCCGCTCCTCGCTGGCATGCCGAAGAGGACGAGCAATTCGGAACTCGTCCTCTCCCTAAAGTGAGGGTTCCTAAGAATCGGGGTTTTTTGGATGTTTTGGAGAATTTCAATGTCATAACTGTAATCAGGGGCACGGAAAGGCCCCAGAATGACAAAAACATCGAAGGCGAATTTTTGGGTGTACGCTGCCTTTAAGATCTTACAAAACTGAAAAAATTTCACCAGTGAGTTTCCTTGAAAAGTTAGGGTGAGTGACTTTTCATACAATTGCTCCCATATATCCTGACCTTTTGGCAACAATCCAATAATGGTACTATACCAGATATGGGCCTACCGGCTCCATACCATAAAATACAAATCACCTAGAACTTTTGCAGTTTCAAGTTACCCTCAAAAGATTGGTGGGTGCTAATAAACTACAAAAGCGTAATAACTGGATGGGACACTGAGGATCAAATTCCAAAGGCAAAGCCGAGAGAATTTTTTTATTACTTTATTTTATTTATTTTTCGACCTTGAATTTCGAGTCAGGAAAAAAACTCTGCACCCAGAACGTTCGCATTCCACCATTTTTTGAAAAAAACATGTACATCTCTATCCAAAACAAACCTCTCCAAACTTATGTATCAAATTATACATTTCCAAAGGAATGATCCCCATGCGGCAAAAACTTGATATTATGTAGGAATCAGCTATTTGAGAAGCTTTCCTAAATGACGTGTGATGTAAGTGGTTCTTCTGAGGACTTAGATACTCACTTGATTTTGACATGCTTTCCAAGACCTTGAAGGAAGAATGGAGCAATTCCTTCGAGTTTTACGTTGACAAGGTGGAACCAGTTTGTGAACTGGCTGTTACTCTCTAGAACAGAAGTTCGAAGTGAATGATAGTCTGAAAGTGTGTCTTACCCCACTGGACAAGATGTGTACGCAGAATCTTGCATTTTAGCCTCTTGCTGATTTCCTCCAGTAATCTACTGTTGACTGGATTTATAAACCTAGACCCGACTTTATCTCCACGAGTTTCACAGTCCCTCGCAGTGATCTGCACCAATGCATCCTGAAAATCTTGCATCATAAATCTTCAGGAAGTCCAAGATTACAATAAGACTACCTGAGGCAATGCCATTACTGGCTCGTGCCAGTTTTCGGCACCCGTCACGGGACAAACAGGAGCCTAGAAATGAAAATTTCAAGGTAATTTTTGCTAAATGAAGACTGCTACTTACTCCTGTGGACTTGATTCGTGCTGGCAAAAGTCCAGTTTCATACTCCTGCTCACTATATTTTGCTATCGGTACAGGATCTGCGGACACCAGCGCAGCTCCGACATTGTTCCAGCCAGTTTTCGGCTTCATAACCGTCTAAACAAAGGCGCACTACTTTGAATGGAACGAAAATTTGCATAGAAGAACAAACCCAGTCAATAACGCTTTCACATTTAGCGAATCGAAAGTACGATCCAGGATATGTCGTGAAATCCTATACATCACATTTACGCTTACCGGAAACGAGGTACTATTTATAAGAAGTTTGCTCACCACTGATGCGATACCAAGAGGGATTTGAATATCACGATTTTTCTCCCAGTACCTAGAATAAAGGGCATATTTTGCATCAACACACATCTAGCTCTTTATAAAACTCACCAAATTCCGCTGCTACGGATTTTGTGCATGAAACGATGCCAGATCTCAGCCACTTCGGGTGACATCGGTGCTTCTAGATCTCCCGAAAACTCAATAAGTTTGAGAAAGTCACCTAAAAACAATGAAAAAAAACACTATAACTTCAAAACAGATTGACGATAGGAACCTGAATATATAAGAGTCATCAAGTGTGCAAAGCGCTCTCTGCAAGCATATATCACTGGGTCAATCCATTTCTAAAAACTTTTCGTTTTTTCTTCTAACATTAAAACAGACATACAGACCTCCGATGGCGCATCCATGACAGTTTTCCACATTTCGAAAGGGACTATGAGCATATAGCAGAGTGCAGCTATGACAGAAGTGTGAGCTCCAACCGTTGCTGATCTGGAACAGAAGTCTTCTGCTAAATTTTCCAAACTTCAGTACCCGAAGCAGGCCGCTAGAATGGCGATGAAAAGAGCTATTCGACCCCCTCCCCTGCCCTCAAAGTTTAGCGACATTTTTTAGATCGATCTACAAAAGTCATTAGTTAGTTAAAGTCTTTACACTCATTTTCTTTTTTTCTGAAATTTCTGCGAGAGATATTGCGAGTTGAATTTGGCAAGCATCTAGAGAATTTTCCAACTCACGATCAGTTACCACATCCAGGAAGATTTCCGCCCGCCTACTCACACCAAAACAAAAACCGCGACTGTCGCTGGTGAACCGTATTTCAATTGCTTACATGAAGTACTTACAAAAGCCCGTCGCTATTGCACTGACCCATAGTCACGAGTTTCGGAAGTCCTTCGAAGTGTACTACCATTCTGGTGTTTTTGTTTGCATCTGAAATGCAAACTATGTTGATCAAACGATACCATTTAACCCTGTGGAGGAATTTACCTAGGGAAATCTCTTCTTTGAGTTTAAAACCCCAGTACTGGGCAATGCGAGAGAGAAATGGGACAGCACGACATGAATTTAGAGGTTGTGTAATTTCATGCATATTCCGGTGACATCCCATTGCGATCATGTCCTGAAATAAAAGACCGGACTTTTCCCTAGCTAGAACCGATCAACATGACGATGACACACTTCAGCATGTTTCAATTCGTTAAAAGTCATTTCACGTTGGGGTAAAATTTTCTGTGGTCCATAATGACAATTCGCAGGAGAAGGAACTTCATATGGAATAGGAGAGTTGAGATGAGCCTCCGATCGAACATAAGTTACAGGTGGTGGTTTTCTCTTCCTGTGTTGCTCTGCTTTCCCGGCTATAATCGAGAAAGATCACAAATAAAAATCAACTTCAAGAGACGTAAAGAGTCGTTACTTACGGTCCAGCGTGCGTATGCGATTCAGCTCCATCGTGAGATTTTTATGCACGAGATCAAATAGATTCAGGAACTAAAAAAATCGCAGTATCATTGTAATTTTTATCAGAACCATTGTACCTGTGGTCCAGTATTGGGGGTTTGAGCGAGGTCACGCTGTATTTTCTCGAATTCAAATAGACTTTTTTCTTGAGCTTGTGTGAGCATCTATAGTGAAAGCCACAGATGAAAATGGTCGAAATAAATAAAAGCATGGCTCTAACAAACATGAAAATGAGCAAACCTTTGACGAAAACATAGTCACTTGATCGATGAGCACAATCATAAATCTCGGATGATCGAGAACTAATTTTCCTTTGAGATTCTCCAGCAATGACGTGGACATCTTCGTTTTTTGATATCTGAACTTCTTTCTAAAGACAAAAGTCAACTTAAAAGTACAGCACCTTTCAAAATCAAATTTCGAATTCTGAATTCGTGGTAGCATATAAAGAACATCAACAAAACGTGTGGCTTCATCAAGAAATACTGAGCCGTAACGATCCATGTTTTCCTTATCCTTTCGAAGTTGCAGTACAGCTTGTCTCACCATCTCAAAATTCATAAGCGACTCTAGACTTTTACAATTCATATGACACATGATGTTTACCTCGTCTATTGAAGTTTTTTCCGACAGTCCATGTAGAAACTGCGTGTCTCTCTACAATATGGGTATTACTTTACATACATGTAAAATTATTGTAGGCACCAGTGGCGGTCCCAGGATTTCCGTTCGGGGGAGGGGACGGGGGGATGGCAAAAATTTTTTTCAATTGAAGGTGCTTGGCGTCAGCCATGCATTCCAAAAATTTTTTAGGTGCTCAAAATTCTGGAGGACCCATATCCCCTGAAATTTAGAAAAAGGGGGAGTGGGGCAGCCATGCCCCCATAAAAGATTTATTTTTTACAAGGCTAATGTGAATTTTTAGAAATTTTCAAAAATTGCTTTAATTATTAACAAGAACAAACAAGTCACCTGCACATTTTTATAACCCATGTAAGCAAATTTCAAAAATTTCGCGACCCAATCTCGGGGGGAGCCCCCCCCCCTCGGACCGCCGCTCTAGGCACCAATACCGCAGAGGGCAAAAATTTGAAGTTCGCGATTTTGTGTATACGACTTCACACAGACGAAGTGAGAAAACATACACCTCAACAATATTAACTCTCCGGATGGTTATGACCTACCTGTACAGTCCCATTGTTATCCCTAAAGCACACGATTTCGACTGACCATAATATTGTTCTAGTGGTAAAGTCGTAGTGCGAGCGTTCCTGGTCTGAAATTTAGCAAGGTCAACAGTTGGCGCAATGCAGCGAACATATTTACCATCGTCATCATGCACATATAGGTGCAAGTAATACATGATATGCGACAGTAAAAAAGTATATACCTTCAATGTCAGGCGACAATGAGAACGCAAAATGTACATCACGGTTGTGCGCTTCCGCATAAAGACGTTGCTCGCGGTAGGAGCTAGAAGCAACTATTACATTAAAATCAAAAATGTCCATAACATTTGTACACTAATTTCAGGAGCACAAGAAGCACCTTTTTCAATTTTAAGCCAGGAGCTAGTCCGCACTACTGCTCCTTGCGAAATAGTCGCTGTCCCACATAATTCTCTTTAGGTGAGCAGCAGCATGGTTGAGGGTCCTTTGATCGCGAAATTTCTTAGTATGTTCAGGCGATCAAGTTTAGAAGAAATCAGGTGCGTCTTGTATGTAAAATTAGGGTGGTCAGGTCATACGGATAGAATGTGTAAGCCATAAGCGAGGTGAAGCCTTACATTTTGAGAGCCATTGATGAGGTAAGGTCCATTGCCGCGTAGGTTTCTTACGCCTTATATTGAAACGATCCTTGTAAGAAACAACTTGCTTCGCATTTCACTAATAAAACCCGATTACATATATTGCCTATAGGCAACAGTGGCGTGCGGTCAAGTGACTCATTTGAGTGCCAATAAATAATTTCAGTTCGAACTTCTTCAAACCCCAAACAGCTTTGAAAATTATTTTCGAGGCGTGGCTAAGCATAAATTTTAATGCATCACCAGGTCAGGTGAGGTGATCCTCACTACTGATACGCTTCCGCTGTCACTTTCTTCTATAGTTGACTCACATCAGTAGACCATGTATAGACTTACGGAGCTTTGCCGGTCTTCAAGTTGGCGATATTTTCATAAAGTAAAATAGCGAGGCCCTCAACTAAACTGCACAGGCAATCACCTAGTTGTGATATTCTCTAATGTACGCATCTATTTACACCAACCTCAGATCCGAGTGGACAATGCCTTCAACCACAAATAACCTTCCTTAACCTTTGCAAAAGTGATCTTCCACCTACCTCAAAAGCTGCGCAGAATACTGCATATATTATTCTGATCTTTCTGAAGACTCAACAAAAAATCTACAGCTCTCCTCCGTGACAAATAATCGGTTTACATCTACAAAGCCACCACATAATAATACTCCTGATGTAAGCTCTTTGGGCATCCGGCGCGCTACAGTCGAGTGCACTTTCCGCTTAATATTGTATCTTGCACTGCAGGTAATATGCGTTAAAATATGCGCGTGATCAAATAGCTACACCTACGACGCTGGCCAACTGCGCGCGAAATCCCGGCATCACTGGCGTGGATAGTTCACGCACAAATTTTACCACCTTTCACCTGCAGTGCAAGCACACTATATTAAGCAGACAATCCACTCGACTGTAAACATCACACGCTACATGTTGGACATAAACTTCAAAGCATTCTTGGCAGCCATTTTCAAGTAAGTATTAACAGCAGATTCAGAGCTGCATGACGTAACAGCGGCAGTCCATGAGACTTTCCGAGAGGAGGTCACGACAAATTTTTTTCGATGAATGTAAGCCACACTTTACAAGAAAGCAGCCACTCCTCCAACAAACTTCTTTCACAAAAATTGAATTTCCAAATGTTAAAACTCTATTACCCTAATTTCACGAGTATAAGAAGCAATTGTTTTTTTTCTGAAGTCGACCAGCCTGAACACAGCAAAAAATTCGACTAAAGGACCCTATACCTGTTGCGTATTGCCTGAGGGTACTGTGCGGCATAAGTTTCGTCTTTTGAAACATAACGACGCGGCTGAGCGGCTCGCTTGAAAAATCGAAAAAGGTGCGCCTTGTGCTCGTAAAATTAGGGTAATCATAAAAACAAGTTACTTGCGCAATTATATTAGGTTGGTGCAAAAGGAATGACCGATTTGCGAATTCTCAATTTGACGTGCTATAACTTTCTAAAGAATCCACATTTCTAAATTCGGTAAAGACCCTCAGAAGCAGCAAATCTTTCGCAAAACAGCGCATACTTATTTATACTCAAACCATAAAAGGGAAGAGAAATGCGGATTAAAAGACAAAGAAGGTTCTTCTGCTAGAATCTTGTTTTTGACAATTCATAACTTCTTGCAAAGTTTTTTAGTATAAATGATAAGTGGCCTATATTGTAGCCACAAGCCAGTAGTACAAAATGCAATAAAAAGAATTCGGACAAGTTTGCGAAAAAGAGAAAAATTGAAATTTAAAATTTCTCAGTTTTTTCAACATTTTTTCACTGTGCCTCAAAGTCCGGAATATAGATTTTTCTGATTTTCTACGTACTGAAAAGCTGGATGTTTTTGCAAAAACTGTTAATGAGTGTCCTAGCCCTACGCTTACAGAATTGAGCAAAACTTCGGCGACTGACTTCCTCAGAAGAAAATTATGGGTCATAAAATGACCGCAACAGCTACTCATGTTTGGGCGCCGATATCTCAGTCTGGATAACTTCAAAGAATGCAGTTAAGTACACATGATGTAGACAATTTCTATTACATACAAGAGCTAAGTTTTCGAAGAAATCCCATTGATACGCGCTTAAATTCTGGCCGGAAAAGTGAATGCAATGAAATTCTGAATTTGGATGCGGTTATTTGAAGCTCAGTAACTTTACAAGAAATGATGATGAGAGCTCGTTTTAAGCACCGTTAGATAGAGCATGAAAACAGCATCGCGATGGTATACTATATCTATTGTAAAGAAGAAGAATTGATGGGGAAAAGTTGCCCTGGAAAAAGGCTTGGAAAATCGGCCATTCCTTTTGCATCAACCTAATATATGGTTGCCCGTGGCAAATATGAAACTATTTCACTTTCCATTTTAGAAAAAGTCAAAAGTAATGAGAACTTCACATCTCTTCGTGGACCTTCCTCAAATCAGCCAGACTATCGACGACAGACAATTTTGAACAGCAACCGAAACAGTTCGTCTTCCTCTTTCCCACAGCTATGAATTCCGGCCAAAACTTTCCATAGTTGCCGAAGTAATCGCAAAAGTTCTTAACCCAATGTGTCTGTTGATCAAATTCTATTGTTGCGGACAGGTGGATTCAAAAGTTTTGATTCAAGATATTATGAAGAGGTAAACGCTCGATTACCTTCCAAATCCAAGTCTGAGAATAATTGACTGTCGAAAATTACGAGCATTAAGGATTTTTTGAAGGTTGATGCATTTTTTGTCCATTCAATGAAAAAAGATTATATTATTGCGATGGCGTCAGATACTCAGCGAGCAGTGTGTATTTTCGCATGGCTATATATGCCAAGGGAGATGCAGTGGTGGCCAACAGACTTCGACTTTTGACTTTGCACAAGTATACAAGGTTGCTCAACATAACCCAGTTCTTCAACATTTCTACACCCTCGCATAATTCAATCGGGACGAACCGTTTTATTCTTGTTAGTCAAGCAAAACTTACTTTGGTTCGAAGCGCATACATACTTCAGGAACATCGATAGTGCTGCGCAATGCTGTCACTTCTTCCACCAAGTACCTGACATCCGTCATGGTTTTTGAAACTAGTGGCGCCTCGGCCAAGTTGAACATCGAGAATGACTTGAAAGCGGATGACGGATGTCCAGGAAGAATGGGAACTTTCTCTGCTGTTGTCCAAAAGCGTGGAAGATCAGCAATCCCAAGTTTTGCTGAAGTATTGTTGAAAAAAAAATAGCATCGGATCAAGCAAGATAACTTTCTATTCACCTAACTGAGGATTACACAAAATCAAAAGACTGACAGCATCTGGATCTTGCAACAACCGCAGATGAAGTATAAGCGCAACCAACTGAAAGGCTTATATTTTCAGTAGATATTTTTACTGCTGTGATTACCCTGTCCCATGGCATCAGGCTGATAATGAGTTTTTGATCGTCCGGTGCTAAAGTTTTTAGTAGTTCTCGATCATTTGAAGCCACCCAGAGAGGTGTCATCGAGAAGGCGGCTTCCTGCAAATAATGAAATCATGGTACAAATCATTGTTTAAACAGAGCAAAGAACCTCCACTGGTTTCTCTGCCTGGACAAAATCTGCATTATCTTCTACTGCTTTCATCGCGAAGTCCTTGAATGAAAACGCGTGGGCGGAGCCAGGGGATACCGAAGATCCTCCCAGTACAAACAGAGGAGTATCCACGTCGATCACCAATCCCTAAAAACGTATTCCTCCTTGATACTAGCTCATCAAATTCTCGAACTGAGTGTTCCATATTCCTGAGCAATACCTATAGACTAAACTCTATTTTAATTTTTCTTCTGAAATAGTATGGCGAGAATTGGAATATGGTCTGTAACACTTACCTGAGGTGGAGGTTGTTTGAAACCTCTTACATCTCTTACAATAAAGCGAGGACAGTCAACGACCACTTTTGACTTTATAGCATCTAACAACGGAAGCTTGTAGTCGACAGCTACCCGCCTGAATCACATCTTGTATCAGCACAGGATTTTCGTGTATTCAAGCTCTGAAATCTATGCCAACATGCGCATGTGATCGCACTGAACCTCCGCACAGGTCTGTTTGCCAAAAGTTCTGCTAACTTTTTAGCAAGAGAAAGTAGGTATGGTAAGTACCCTTTAATTCAACCTATGGAAGGCGGGGCATCGTGACCTAATTAAGGCTAGATAATGATCAGAGAGCACGCGCGCGACAGAGACGCAGACTGCTTGGCGGGCGCCTGGCGACCTTAGGCCTAAGGCATACTTCACGCGATTTGGCCAAATCGCCACCTTTACGCGACTTGGCGATTTGCCAGATTTTTACGGAATTATTGTGCACTTTTCTCAAAAGCATAGGCGAATAGCTTTCATAAGTTGTTGTAATCAGAACAAGTCTTGCTCAAACAAAGCGCATTTCAGACCAGTTATAAACAGTTGTTCCTGTACCAAATCGCGCAGCAACCGAAATCGCGTGAGGTATGCCTTAGGCCTTAAAGGCAGCGTCCAGGCAAGTCGGGACACATGGGAATCTCACATGGATAGTAATTTTGGGGCCCTAACGAAGCCACTGCCCAGCCGGCAGCTCAGGTAGTGCTCTAACGGCTGAGTATCCTAGAAAATGGACCCCGCAATCGTATTTCGCAGGGATCCATGGCGCAAAACGTGGATCTTGGCAGGCCACGGATCCATGCGAATAGATCGCGGGGTCCAGTTTCGAGGGGAATATCTCAGCCGTTATAGCATTACCTGCGCTGCCGCTTGGGCAGTGCCTTAGTTAGTGCCCCAAAAGTACTTTCCACGTAAAATCCCCGTAGGTCCAGATCTGCCTGGACGCTGCCTTTAAAGGCAGCGTCCCCTCAAATTGATGGGTACCGGGGTTTTACAGTGTTGCGATGGTAGACTCTCCAACTAATCTATTAGTGAAATTTGAAGCGAAATAGCGCTTCTGGGAAGCCCAAAATCCGCTCTGGAAGTCTTGCGGACGCCGCCCGTTTGCAGACTCCGCCTCTTCTTACACGTAATTTGACGCGAACGCAGACACGGAGAACTTTGGAAAGAGCTCATTTTTGCTGTTTTCAAGCACTGAAAAGCTTAGATATGGCTTCAGCATGGCGAAAACGCTTCGGAGAGGTGAAAAACCGGGGAGCGAGATTTTGCCGGTACACTGCTTTAAAAGGCAGCGTCCAGGCAAGATCCATCCACCCAGATTATCACATAGTTGTAAAGAGGGCCCATGAGTATCCGAACTGCGTTGGTCCAATCCTTTGACGTGCCCTCTAAAAGGAGATACGGGCCTGTGATAGGTATCACAAGCCGCCCCTTCGTATCACAAACCACCCCTGAGGACGAGTGCTTACGCAGGGTGCGGTTGCATTACAGTTGCATTGCAGTTGCACTGCACACTGCAATGCAACTGCATCCGTGCAGTTGCAGCTCCTCCGTTGGCATGACGACGGGGACGAGCAATTCGAAACTCGTTCGCTCCTTGAAGAGAGGTCCCCAAGAACCGGGTTTTTTGGGAGTTTTAAACAATTTGGACTTTACAGCTGTAATCATGGCCACGGAAAGGCCCCAGAATGGAAGAAACATGAGAGGCGAAATTTTGCCCGGACGCTGCCTTTAAGGGCACAGTCCACCCAGATTCTCGGCTTCCATGTTTTTGTCGTTCCGGAGCCTTCTCATGTCCCCGATTCCGAATATCAAGTCGAGAATTCGCGAAAACCCCGACAAACCCCGTTTTGGAGAACATGCAAAGCGAGTTGTGCGGAACGGTGATTAGGTGCGCTCAGATGGGCGGGACGAACGTCACACTCAAAGGGGAGGAGTCAACGTGGCGATTCCGTCACAAGCGATTTTTGAAGCAATTTTCTCGCTTCGGAAGCAACGTCTGGCAGCGCGAATGGGCAAGTATACAGCTGGGGGCCACACTACTGTTAGGCATCAAAATCTCATAGACCATTTGAGTGGACGGTGCCTTTGATAAGGTCACAAAGCCCCGCCTTCCAGCTGCCAGGCCAGTTGAATTAAAGTTCAACAGATCAAAGAGACGGATATTCTAGGCATCGCCTCCGCGGGCGGAGGTAGTCCTCCAAATTCATGGGCTCTTTTCCAGCATTACTGCGCCCTATAATCTACATCAGAGGAAAGTAAAGTCTATGAGCGAAGGATTTTTCGACCAGTGTTTTGCTCGAATACTGCCTTGGAGGCCGCTACGACCTCTAACGATGCAAGCCTTCATCCCACAGCGACTCAAAGTGCTAAGAAATAAACGTGCAAAAAACACAGGACAAGCAATGCAGAGTCAATGGAAATACTCCTAAAAAATAAACTCACTCCAGCTGCACCATCTGACTCTCTTTGATTATCGGCAGCATCAAGCTCATCTCAAAAAATTTCATGGAATTTTCTTTCATTGTTTGTTTGAACTCAGCAGCAAGATGTTTGTCAGGATTCGTAGCAAGGTGTTTGCTAAGTATCTGAAAAAAAAAATCTTTCCATAGAATACCAGCGAAACAGAACAACATACAGACTCAAGGCTGTCCTTGCCATCCATATAATGCGCATAGGATTTTTCCACCTGAATTATATGTCTTATCATCGATCTATAACTGAAGATTTATAAAATCATTTACTTGATGTGCGTCGTGTTTGCACACTTCTAGGGTGATTTCTAGTGACCAGCGAATTGAGTCTTTACTAGCGTCATACTCGCACTTGCATTTCTCTAGAAAGGGGAAACATTGTGCGGTGACCTGTTTCAAACAGTGAATAATAAAAGTTTTAGAAAATTTCTTAGTTTCAACTAGCTCCGTAGAAAAATCTTCTACTGAAAGTTTGTTGCCCTACCCCAAACCAATTTTCCAATTTTTCAGGCCGCCACTGGTTGTAAAACATAAGAAAACATATTAAGACCAAGCTCGTCTGTTACTGGCGCTTTGGTAGTCCGTCTAGATTCCTCAAAATTAGAACAACCCACGTGACTGAGCTCCTTTAGTGTCTGATGAAATGTAGTAGTAAACTCCTTGACCACGAACCATTTTCAACAAATTTCCGATGCTTGGGAAGAACCTGAAAATTGCCAAAAAAGCATCGAAGTATTGCTTGAAATTCGCACAATTCCTACTTCGGCAACTCTCTTGGTAGCTCCTTCGTCAATACTTTCGGCACCTCCGGCTTTGATGAGGAAGAATTCACATTTTTCGAAGGAGTGCAGCCCTTTGCCTTTGCCGCTTCTCTTTCCTGTAGTTCTAGCGCAGCCTTTGCTCCTTCTTTTTCCGCTTGCATCAGCAATCTCTCTTTTTCTCTCTCCTCTTCAGGTAATCCAGGCCAAACATAACTGTCAGCCTCGCCAGGAAGTCGGACATCTCGAAACGTTTTCGGCAGCCTACCAAATTTCGAGGTCCTCTTCAGCCCAGGAATATTTGAAAGTGATCGATTCCAACCCTCGAGCCTTCCAACTCCCAACTTAGCTGAAATATGTCAAAAGATAAGCATGTAAGGGATGAGAATGGGTGTAGAAACTCACATAATCTATCAAACAAAAGGGATTTTATTGTATTTATTGGAGATCGTTTTTCCATTTTAGGTGGATACTTTTTTATGTAGTAGCCAAGATTCACCAACTGAAGAAAAACATTGAGGAAGACTATATATGTAACGACAAGTCAGAAATTTGATCACCCGAACAAGCTGCATACTGTCTATTGTAACCCTCATCTCAGCCAATGGAATTTCTTTCAGGTGTAAGTAATCTCGATAAGCCATTTCTGATGGCGGCAATTCAATCACCGTAGCTTTTGATGTAGTAGAAGACTGAAATTTGTTCAATTAATGCGATAATTTGATTGTGCAACACTTCATTATAATAATACCATCTTATCACGTATTCATTACGTTGCCTATGCTTCACTTCAATCGAAAAAATTTGACTACGTAATCTTTAATTCCCATTTTCTAGAAAACTGGAGCATTACCTGTGCAGCAAAATCTCAAAGAAGGGGAAGAAAAAAGAATTACTAAAGACTGATTCTAAATTCCGGCCGTTTTTTTTTATTTCAACAAAGAATAACTAGTCACACGTAAGATTCCCATGCACCTCATTTGTTAGCAAGGTACTGATGACGGTTACTGCTTAAGAAAAGGAACCTTGGACTCCTGAGGTTCATCACTTTGAGCGGAGGTAGCCTTGACAGATGATGAACTGGACGGTGGTGCAGACAATGCCTTCTGTGTGGCTTCAGTCGATGTTGATGGTTTATCCGACTGCGAGGCTGGTTTAGGAGAAGAAGTAGAGGAGACACTTGACGCAGGCGCACCTTTCGTCGAAGGTGGAGACGGTTCCTAAATTACTGGCATCTAAAACTGACTGCGGAATTTCCCGCCTGCAATTTTTGCTCTTGACAAATGTGTGGTCTCAGGATATTTATGGACAGCTCGTATAATTTCTTATGTGCAGATTCTATGAGCTTTAGGCTTGACATTCTCAAACAAGTACATTAAGAGTGTTTCCTTGTAAGACTTTTCATATTTCTTATGTAAGATGAAAGTCTGCCATGGAACTGGTATATAGGTCATGCACGACTAAGTTCCATTTTGAATTTGAAAATTGTTTCGAATGATTATAGTCCGTTTCCTCCCCTAGTCTTAGAAAAGCTCAAACTTCCGAGTCGTCTTCGTATTGGCAATGACGCCTCCGGAAATCGATGTGAATTCAAAAGGTGCAAAAACAGTGTGTAATTTCCAAAGATGTTAGAAAAGTGCACCAATATTGCTTTATTCATGCCCATCAAAATGAAAATAGATGCCATATGGCCCCTTCCTCATATATCAAGTTTTGTTTTAAAAAATTTGGCCAAATTCTTCTGGGAAGGGTTTCAGAGGCAAATTTTAGGGATTACAGAACATTCAATCACTGCTGCAACTAGAACCTCCTACAATGTCTATACATTCTGATTTTTTAGTCGTCCTCACCCCACTACACACTCGGTGGTCAAATTCGATTTAGAATCAGAGCATGCCTGCGGTAGAGCGCGGCACACTCGGCCCTCACGGAAGCTGATATGCTTTAGTTCAATGGATTTGACTACCGAATGTCTAGTGGGGTGAGGACGATAGCTCTTCTTAACTGACTCAATCTCAAAAATGTTCAAGAAAATGCTTAACACCGATGAGGTTGACTGTAACGAAAAAAAACCTCCAGTAAGGTTGTAGCAAAAAAATTGGTGATATTGACTTAACATGGGCTTATATCATGACGGAGGATTATCGTCTTATTTGTTAGAAAATTCTCATATGGACTAGGTGATAGAGCAACGGCACATTTCTTTTTATCTGAAATATGCTTAAAAAAGGTATATATCAAGTATGGAAAAATTTCGTAAGGTTTGTATCTCACATAGTTTTCGGAACATGCTCTGCCCATTTCATCCAGTTGAAGAAGTGTGTAGAAATAGGCATTAAAGAGCTTCAAAGTAGGAGTATGTATTGCAAGCATAATGTAGATAAGAAAAATCTTTACCTTTGAGGGATTCTTTATCTGCGAAAGTCCTAAAGACTTCGCTACTTGCTCGAAGTTTGCACTATCCGCTGCTTCATCAATTTCAAATTCCGTTATGGGCGTCACGTTTTTTATCGGAACATGACCAGGAAGCATAGGTAATGGTTGCGTAAGATCCCAAGAATTTGGAATTTTGTCGATGCCAATGTTATCTAAAACAGGAGAGCATTTCTATCATCCTGAACAGAACAGCTTGAATGACCTAACAAAATAAGTGAATAGTCGAGGCAACTGACATATCATTAACCTATTTGGAGGATTTTCTTATTACCATTCTCAAACCATCTAGAGTCGAGTGCACGTAATCGCCCGTATCGTTGTAGGCTGAACGTCCGCGAGCGTAGCGCGATCGACCGCCAACTGCACGAGCCTTCGCCAATGCTAAAAGTAGCCCGTAGGCCACAGATTTCGCCGCGCCAAATACGCTCGCGGGCGTCTAGGCTACAGAGACATGGGAGTTTCGTGCAGTTGACTATATCTGCTCTGAATGCAGGGGTCCTCATCATTTTGATGTGGGAATCTCTTATGGCCTGATTTGCGTGGACACTGTCCATAAATTGGTAAGTTTCACCAATTCAAAAGTGCGGCATGGCACAAAATTTTGAATCTTACGAAATCGCGTCGGCAGAAGGCTGCGAACATTGTTCAGTTCCATTGAGCGAAAAGTCTTCCTCAGGTGGTAAGACAAATTTATGGCCTGAAACAAAAACTATAGAGTCTATATAATTATGATGTTGGCTTACTCACTCTGTTGAGTGGTAATTTGAATACCAGTTGCTTTTGTACTTCCCATGGATATTTGAGCATAAGTTCTACATCTCGCTTCGCCATAGCTAGTGGAGTAAATTTCTTTCCTGTTCCCTGCAAACCATTGGATTTAATAGATTGGCGGGTAATTTCTGTTGCACGTTTTCCTTTTAATTCTGAAAATCTGAAGCGTTCGGATCACCAAATTTGCGTCATGCCTAGCGCATAGCAGAACTACACAAAAGCACTGACTGATGCCGCAAATGCACGAGAAACAGTCTTGTAAAAACACTAAAATTTCAATTTTTCTCTGCGCTACTGGTGCGTTTCCTTTTCTATAATTTTTTGAAATGTATTTCGACACTGTCTCTCCTATAACAGCCTATATGTTTAGAAAGAGTAAAAAAAATTCAGAAAACATCAAAAAAACATTTCTTCTCATGTGCATGCAGAAAAGTTCCATGAGTAGGGCTTTGAATTCTATCCACATGCCGTGAACATGAAATCTCTTTCCTATGAAATTTTCAAGATAAATAATGAGTGACAAAAAAGCATTTCCTTTTGGATAACTTTGTTGTGATTCTTCATGGCAAACGCTTCAGCCCATGCGTAAAGATTTGTCCATACTTATTGATGCCATAAAACTAGACAAGCAAATGGACCTTCTTCGCCGTCACTGGTCGTAGGACCAAAGGTTTTAGCTGCTCCAGGTGTGGAGGTGGTGTGCCAGCTGTGGCAATGGGGATTACTTTAGCCACATTTTCAGCAACCTTGGGATCGACTGTTTGTGAGGACTGTTTGACTTCGGCTGCACCATTCTGCGACGTCGGGGCTTGGGTATTACCGCTTTTCTAAAAATCATGTGATTATAGACATCATTCCTTTCGAACCAACCTCTGCTGCATTGGTTGTCGAAGTTTTGGTAGGCGCATTTGTTAGTACAACAAGATTTTGCTGAAAGCAAAGCACATGCGGGGTTCAATTCTAAATTAAGCGAGAATTGTAGAAAACGAAAGTTCCGTCGCATGATTTTCAAAAAATCTAAGTTCTTCCTTTCGCAATGTTCTTGCTTAGTATTGATATTATTAGGAAGGGTAAGTCATGCACTTTTTGATGACACCTGCTTATCTCCTACTAGGTTCTGATTGCAGAGGTAAATTGGAGAAAGGAGATATTTTCAATTTTTGGAAAGGGAGACCCGTTAAAAATCCTGAAACTATGCAATAAAAAAAACACCAGTGTGACAAGTTTTTGAACGCTTCTTTTGAACCGAGCATAATTTGAGAAAACAACAGGAAACGGAAGAACTTATTTTTTGACATTTCTCTCGAAAATCATATTTTTTTCATAGAAAAGTAGAATAAGAATAGAAAGAATAGAAAGTAAAATCATAGCTTTTCATAGAAATGCCCGACCAGCGCAAACTTCGTTCATTGGAAAGGAGGTAAACTTATGACCAGGGTCAAGCGTGAGGTATGGCGAACCACACGAGGATTGTTGAGGTGTCAGATTAGGATGGAACCGTTTCGAGGTGATTAGCGATAACAAGACTTGTTGACAATGTCAGTCAAGCACATTATGCAAGGTACAAGCACAAGATATTTAAACTGTATACGTACCGTAAGCAAGATAGAGAAGCCCTACCAAGGGTAATGAGTATTATTTTCGCAGCTAGCATGTCAAGTAACCCTTGTGGACCAAGTTTTAGCGATTTCAATATTTTTTCCAAATATTAGGCCACCAAGTAAGATGGTTATTTTCGAACATGATTAACTTCGTAAAGGTAAGTTAGTACGTCCTTCCGCACTCAATACGCACTACTTCTAAACCCACACGAGAAATCCAGCTTCAAATTAGCGCCAAATCATGGAATTAGAACCCAAGATCTCGTTTGTCCCATTTTCGCTATTAATAACTTAACTTTTACCAACCACTCAGACTCAAACACTCCAGTGAGAAATAAGGGACTGCTACCGATTACATAAATATTTTAGAATTTCCCTGCAATGTACTTAGTTCGCAGGTCTAGCATACTACCGTAATCTGACATTAGCTGCGAACATGTGCTCGGGAAAAAGACTATATCTTCTTCTAGACGTAATAATTTCAAAAGAAAATCCCGATGCGAAGATAAGAAGGTTTAGCGGTCTCGGATAAAAAAAGCCTAGATGTATGAATGCTCTGAATGTGACTCAATGGGATGTGGCACACAAACCCCCGAAGTGGCAGCCACATTTTTTGAGGTTGTGCTACTTTCGAAAAAAAAACCGAATAATATTAGGTTGGCTAAAAAATAAGTTCGGTCGTTTTCAGCGGTGTGTAAAATCATTGCAAATAAGTTTTTGTGCGTATATATGGTACCAATGGAAAGAGCAAATCAAGGAGAGTCGGATGGTTAATTTCTTTTTCTCGAAAATAATTTTTCTGATAATGAAATGGTGAAGGGATGAAAATCGGTCAGATTTTTCCCTCAAAATTTCGAAAAATCACGTTCCAAAAAACGAACTGAAGTAAGGTCTAATGTGTAGATTCGCTACCCACGCAACAAATCTTTAAATTTCCAACCATTTGCATGGCTATAGATGGCCAAATTCGAGTTATCTGGAATGCCCAAAATTTGACCTTCACGCGCAAATGCCTGGAAATTTTTACAATTTTTATTGCAGAAATTCAGAAACAGCAGGTCACAATTTCTGTTGTGGTTCGCCACCTAGCCAGAGGCTGTATGTATCCAGCCACCAAATTATTCCCCTGTGCACTCATTGTAGGCCGAGAACGAAAGCTAGAAAGTCAAAGAAGCGATTTTTTAGAAGTCTGACCATATAAGGTTATAACCGTCATTTATGGTGACAGAAAATCTTGACTATTTGATATTTAAGAGTAGAGGCTTGAGGCTATCTTCTCACGAAAAAATCTTAGCTAAATAGCTGTTACGTGAACTGTTATGAAGCTTTGAATTTTCATGTCAAAACGAATTTATTTATTAGCCAACCAATATATTAGGTGTGTAATAAGTTCGTTCGCATTTTTTATTTCAACTTTTTCTCAATATTTTACAGAGCATCTGGCAAAAAAAATTGTATGCATTCAAAAGCTCTAAGTCTTCTCTACCAAATGTTGTCACTATTTTTTCAATTATTGAGAAGCTGAATTAATAGATTAAACCTACAAACCGGAAAATCGAAGAAAGCGAAAATTCCATTTTCAACAACTATATTATGCTGCTTTTCAAAAAGGTTAAAAAACAGCTCGAAAAATTTGCGACGTACATGGATAGAATGCTGTACGTTCCGCAAACTACTCATAAGTGCTGAAACTGCTCAAAAACATTTTATAATCTTAAAGATAATTTTTTTTGACCTATCTTCTGCATCAACGTTAGGCATCTGAAGGCATCGTGTGAGAGGATGATTGCCAAACAATGTAGAATTGCGAGAAAAGGGAATCTCTGATTATGAAACTATCGAATTTATAGGTTACTGACTGCAAATTTCGAATTTTGGGGGACATACAACTCAAGTAGGCGAAATCACGAACGTCTTTGCGGCATAGTTTTGCTTCGTCCACTGTTGCAAAAAAGGCATTAAACGGTTGGTTAAAGGACGTGAATAAGCACAAACACTGACAGGAAGTGAATAAGCGATTGGTCCGTTATTTCCAATTGTTCTCATGCTTTTTGAACAAATTTTACCAATAATTAACGGAAAAAACTAGGAGAGAAAAAAATGTCGAGAAGGAAATTTTCGCACCCCTGGATTTTCACTTTTCAATCTAATTTTTCAATCAACTTTTTAAGAAAATATATAATATCTAGCTAAACGCTTCGCAAAATACTGAGAAGAATCTAAAACAAAAAAAGCGAACGAACTTATTACACAACCTAATATATCGTCCGATGGTCTAACCTCGTAGTTTTCACAAGAGTGATTCAAGCCTGATTCATCTTAAGAGCTGAGCAAAATTTTAATTGACTTCTAAATTCAGTGTTTTGAAGGTTATTCGCAGTGTGCATTCTAGCGTAAGCTAATAAGGAGTAGTACTTTGTATTGAGTGGAAAAAAGATAGCAAACTCATCTCTAAAACAAAGATAATCGTGTTTGAAGACAATAATCTCTGTTAGGTAGCGCAGTACTTGGAAACTTGGAATCGCTAAAGTTTGGTCCACGGGAGTTACTTGACATGCCTATTACGAGAATACTCTGTTTATGCTTGATAGGCGCTCTTTCTCAAGCTTATAAACGATAAGTAGAGGTCTTATTGAGAACAAATAAGGGGAGAGGAATCGCATTCGTGGTCGTGTGTCACACCTCTTGCTCGATCCTGCTTACGCTGGCTGTTTTGGAACTGCACAGTTTTTTTGAATTTTCAACGAACTGCCAAGTACCAAATTTCCGAAGATCTTCTTTCTCCATTTTTATATCTGCAACGGAGCTTAGTAGAGGGTAGGCAGGGTGTGAGTAGAAAACGCATGGTTTACTCTTTCTGATAATATTGATGCCATGCAAGACTGTTGTGGCAGGAAAAAGTTCAATCTTTTTGAAAAAGGGGTGAAGGAGCTTTTGGTGTAACTTAATGCATACCCTGGATGGAGGGGCTGAAGCAGTGGCACCTGCTGAGATAAGTTGTGCCGGTGACGGTCCAGCGAATATTGTTGGCTGAAAAAAGTTTTATGACGATAATTTACATGTGTGGCTCAGCGTATAACCTAACGTCACCAAACGTGCCCAACATTCTTTGAAAATGAAACTAGGAATATAAGCAAAGGAAAACATACACCGATAGCAGGTGTCGGAATCAGTTGCGCAGTATTGTTGGCGAAAATGCTTGGCGCCGGTGGAACCTGAGATTAAAATCTACATCAAAAAGTGTATTTGTAAGATCTATTCACCCCAAGTGTAAATTCCTTACTTGCACACTAGATATTGTAACAACATGCTCGCTTGAAGGCAGTGTCCGGGCAGATCGTTGACCATTTAATTTCAACGCATTACCGAAGCGGGTTTCCCCTTATTCGCTACAACGCGACTGCGACTGCAAGATACTGCTTCTGGAGCGAGAAAACAGGTTCAGAAGTGTAAAGAGACCCGCCCTCGATTCATTATCGTCTTTATCGCAGGAAATCACGCCACGACACGGACGTTGAGATGTTGTCATTGGTTGCAGTGTCGTGTTCGGGTGCAATTTCCTGCTTCGGTAAAACTACTCAGACACTCGCTGCGGTTGCGCGCGCGCCATAATAGCGCTGTAGTGCGAGGGGCGCGCCCTAGTCGAGACTGCGAGCGGCGTGCCATGATATCTTCCGTATTCTCACACGCTGTAAGCACAAGCAGTACCCGCGTGATGTACGACGCAGTGTTTTGGGTGCTTCATCGCTATTCCAATGAGGTTATCGCTGCTTTGCAATGAAGTTGTCTCATTAAAGTCAGTGAATCGGCAGAATGAGTCCCGTGGCAAAACAAAGTCGCAGGGTCCAGGGCTCCCATAATGGAATCTATCGGCCAAAGTCCGAACTTTCTCTGCCACTTCTAACCGAAATTTCAACGCGAAAGCAGCGCTCCTCTACTCTCCTCTTCGACCCTGCCCACCCCATGGACGAGTGACTTCCACGGTCAGAGCGCGCATGCCCAATGCTATAAGCATAAGGGTCCCGCGACGACTCTGCGTCTTCGCCATGGCGGGCTTCGCGTTCACTGTCCGTGGGATGGGCGGGGTCAAAGAGGAGAGGAGATGAGCGCTGCTTTCGCTTTGAATTTTCGGGGATTAGAAGTGGCAGAGAATGATCGAACTTTGGCCCATAGATTACATCATGGGGGCTCCTACCCTGTGACCTTGTTTTGCCACCGGTCTAATTCTGCCGATCCATTGCCTTTAACGGAAGTGGGGTTCTTCCATGAGAGTCAGTCTCCAAAAGCACTGCGAGTAGGTACTGAGTTTGGATTCAAATTTAGAAATTCGAATTCTTGGATTTTCGAAATTTGAATTTTCAAATTCAATGTTTGGAAATTTCAGGTTCATATCTGAAAAATCCAGTCCAACTTTGATTTGCCTAAAGCTGAAGGGTTGTCATCACGCCTATTATGATTCACCGTGATTCACAGTGCTCCAAATGCGATTGGCATTTTTTCGTGTCGTGCGAGCGGAGTGCCATTTGCGTGCGGCGCGCGCGCCATTTCACGACCGACGGCGGGGGACATGAATGAGCGCCCGCGCCCACATGGCGCGCGAGCCGCCGCAGCGAGTGTCTGAGTAGCGAATCGTGGGGCGGGTCTGTTTATCTACACTTCTGAGGCTGGTTTTTCGCGTCAAAAGCAGTATTTTGCACCCGCAGCGGGGCTATAGCTTGCATGGGGAGTCCGCTTCGGTAATGCATTGAAATTATGTAATCACAAATCTGCCCGGATACTGCCTTTAACATTTCTCACTTTTTAGCCAGAGGAAATAAAGTAGGGTCCTACGGATGCCCAGAGCGTGACTATGTGGCGAATTGGAACAAAGCTCCAGAGCTTACAACAATTTATTGATTTTTGTTATTTTGACCATCTGCATCGTAACGCGTGCCGCCACAGTGAAACTAAGGACTAAACTAAGTACCCAGTAAGAAAACGGGTAACCCTATCAAAAGATAAAAGATGTAAACATAAAGTCTGCTGTTGCTTCCAAGTAATATACCACCGGGCTGAGCAGAGCAAAAATCTGGCCGACTAATGTCAGAAAATTATTGAACTGCCGTATGATAATGGCTTGTACTGAGAGCTCCAGATTTATATGCAAAAGTCTTGTTCAGTTATTTATTTTAGAGAACCCGCTTGCAGTAAGTGGATTTGAGTTCTCAATCCGAAACGTAAATCCACACATACCAACTGAGCAAAGTTGAAGGGGCAAGGCCCAAATAAACTGGGAGGCCGCTGCGCGAATACCGTCGGCATAGGTTGGACCTGAATTGTAGGAGTTAAGGTCTTGATCACCGACATTCGTTGTTCTCAGGAACCCGTCATAATTCGCCGAAAAAAACCCAAAGAAGCCCGAAAAAGGCCAAAAAAGTCGAAAAAGCAAAAAGCCCCAAAGAGCCGAAGCACCCCTTCCGTTTTGACGCTAAGGCATATGTGTTGATTTCGCAACCGAGTCTTTTTGCTTCATTTTCTGTCGTCTGCACATCAAAATAGCGTCAGAATTCTACCAAAAGTTCGTTTCTGCGTTCCGGCTCTTTCGGGCTTTTTCTGGTTTTTTCCGGCTTTTTTCGGGTTTTTAGGGCTGCCTTGAACTTTTTTCGGCGAAGTATGACGGGTCTCTCAATCATTGCTCTCCTCCAAACACAGCGTCCAGAAAAAGCCATTAAATTTCCTATGTATTTTATTCACCTCCTTATAGGTACTTGACTTCCACTAATTCTATGTGTAAGGCTTGAGTACGATTGTAGTAAACTTACATTTGGTGCAGGGAAAATGGGAGGATTTCCAAGCAACGACGTAGGTTGATTGGGCTGCAATGTTGTGGAAGGCTTTGGCATCAGCGGCGATGGCTGACTGTACTGCTGCGGTGTTGTATTAGGTACGCCTGGCTAAACAACATGTCTTAACATTCAGTCCTCAGATACTTCGTAGGTTGCAAAGTGTTAGGGAAAACTCCTTGCTAATTTGGAGAAGAAAATGACTCCATTTTTCACATTTAGAAAACAGCTGAACAAATCATTGAAGGCAGTGTTTCACGAAAAATTCGCTGCTGAGATTCTCGCATATTACGATCTAACAGTGGAGGGGGTTAAAACCGCACGAATCTCCCAAAAACCCCGTTTTCTGGAGGCCTCGCGGAAGCAACTTGAACGAGCTGAGCCTTCTGACTCTAGCCTCGCCACAGTGGCAGCAATACAATGGAGGCGGACCTCAAATGGAGGGACATGTTCAAAAGCGTCAGGGGGAACCCGGAGGAGTCGTCCGTGCGGGTCACTCTGAGCGCATTTTTTTCAACGTAAAGGGAGCCAAACTGAGTCGCACTTGTTGCAGTGGCCTATTTAGGGGCCCTCTAGTGGGTTATGTGGAGACCCGCGCAATCTCAGTCTTGGTGAGACACTGCCTTTAACGACTTGCAGCCCAGCCGGTACTAGATGATGCATGATGCCTTTCTCTTCCGGTGAGAACTGGAACTAATTGTATACACAAAGAGATGAATGACGTAGACGTAACCTTGCACTAAAATTTTTTTCTCGAACAGTGAGACCAAATATTAGACTGATTCGTGATAAAGCTTTCTGGAGTGGAGTGCGAATCATGGTATTTTGTTTTTCCAAAAAAGATTCTGTTCCAATGAAAACTACAGGTAGAGGAACGAACACCTCATTTAGGTAATATCTACTGCATGACGAAGGCGGTTGCCCAAATAGGTTGAAGGCTGTCGCGCACGCGGCGTGCGGGCAATTGTCAGCCATGGAGCGCGCAAGCTCGGTCAGCGGTCATCCACGGAGCGCGCGCAGCAGGACAGCCGCGCTCCGCCAGCTGCGCTCGCTCCGTGGATGATCGCTGACCGAGCTTGCGCGCGCTCCATGGCTGACAACTGTCCTCGCGCCGCGTGCGCGACAGCCTTCAATCTATTCGGGCAACCGCCTTCGTCATGCAGTAGATATTACTGCGTGCGCAGGCTGCTGCTCCTTTCGTCCTATTGTTGTGCATCGTGTTGGGACCAGTAGTCCGCGGAGGCGGTGCCTATTTGAGGTGTTCGTTCCTCCACCCGAAAACTACTGCACACAGCAAATCCTATTCACAAAACACATACTTTCGCATGATTATAGCCACCACGAGAACGATTTTGTAGCCCGGGTTGCCAAACATTTTTTCAGGAATTTTCTTATTTGAAAAAGCATAATTTACTCTCACAATCAAATGCATTAGAGTGACACAAACATTTCATTGTGAAAATCTCTAATTTCTTCTCCTCTAGAAAACGAGAAAAGTTTTATTATCTTTAGCTAGTTCAGCTCTAGCTGGAAAGAACAAAAGTTCTGCAATAGGTTTTCCTTCAACATATACTGCCAGAATGGCCTCAGGCACTAGCCACGTTTAACTACGAAATTCTCGGCTCAAGTTTCTCCAAAAATCTGATTTTGATGAGCTTTTTTTTATTTGGATATTTCTCATAATCTTTTACCGTTTTTACCCTACATATCAGCATTTCTCGAGAATGGTGGCACCTACAAAGGGGCCAGATACATAATCGTACTTCTGTATGTATGAGTATATGATCACGTGTGTAGGAGGAGCTCAAGGCTTCTGGGGCGGAATTTGCCATTTTACTCCATTCAATTTTTCTTTATCTTTAGCCATGAAGAAAATACGGAAAGTGCACAATTTAATGTTCGATTTGTCACGCATATCCAAGGATAAATAAAGATTTTTTAAAGATATTTTGGGGCTGAGATACGGTTTTTTACGGTAAAGTTCGTTTTTGACTGCTATCATATTTCAGCTCAAAACTTCACGTGGAATACGAATTAGACAGATATAGCCAACTAAAGAACTTGCTTTGCTCTGTCGAATGTTTACTTAGGCCACATCAATTGATGGAAAAATACAAAAAGACGATGGTTGTAATAGAAGCGGTAAAAAAATTATGAGGTACTCTGGTAGAATAGTGCTCTGCAATTACTAGTATGTTTTGCGAGGAAAAATCGCATATTTTTCATGGTTTAGAACAAGGAGGTGAAAGGTTGTTTGAGGGCATAGCCTCTGGAATGAACAAAGATTGCAAAAACGAAGGCGTATACAAGGAGCTGAAAAAAGCTGGCTTTTACATCCTAGTTTCAAAGAAAAGTAATTTCCTTTGATAAGCATAATATAGGAAAAACCCGCACTAATATGATCGTCCATGTTACTAGAAGCTTAGATCTTTTTTTATGAAAGGATTTTCCAGAAAACCTAAATGAAACCGCCATTTGCAATGTTCTATACAATTTTTCATGATTAACTGGATTGGACAGCGTTAACGTAAGGATGAAGCCAACATAATCAAAGATAATAGATTTGTTAAGAGTAAGTTATCAGCAAATTGTATGTAATTTTCTCATTTATAATTTATTTGATTCTTCGAGTCTATCAAAGAAATTTTGATTTGATTATTTCTAGAAGGCTGGCGCTTCCAATGGCTATTCAATTCCACCAACCTTTCGTAAAAATTGCATAGACTGTGACTTCAAAACTATGAGAAATCGTGGCCGATCAACAACCAGCTTCCCTCTGAGAGATTCAAGCAGTGTGTCCTCGGCGTTGACCAGATGATACCTTGGAATCTAGCGTTCAAAAGCTGTACACATCAGACAATTTTGCAACGCACTCGGGTTCGCCGTTGACTCCGGATACAGACGGAGTTACGGAGAAAACATTGATGCAGTCGTTACTGCGCTCCGACGCTTTCGCAAACGCGGTGGTGATGGATTCTTCGACGTCATCGAAGTAGATAACACTATCTATGTTCTGAAACAGCAACTGCATCAGACATTTTGTTAATGTGATTAATAGATCCCTCGTTTTTGCTACTCGCTCTATCTTTCTCAGAAGCTACACATGAGGACGACAACTGCATTCATTGGACAGTTGTACATTTCTTCCAGTGACCTGGTGAAAACAAGAGAGATCTCGCTTACCTTTTTTTGAATTTTTTGAAGAATTTTATTTACATGAAGAGCAGACCCAAGAAGTGAATCTTAACATTCTTCAGCTGATTAGAGTATGACGAGGTACTTGTTGTACTCAGTGTAGGCATAGTATTCTGACAATTCAACGACTATAAAGACAAGAACGGCAGAGACATAAGAGAGATGAAGGATAGCCCCGACCACGTCTAACAACTAAGTAAAAAAAAAACGATTTCCACAGGCACAGCAACACAGTGGCACCATCACACTTCACAAACAGCAAGATCACAAATTTCGACGATGCTAGGTTAATTGAAATGCTAATCATACATTTATATTCCGCGCGACAGAGCCTTTTCGCGGAGTTACGGTAGGTGTACAGTATGGGATAAAATTCTCAGGGACCCGTCATATTTCGCCGAAAAAAGCCAGAAAAAGCCTAAAAGCGCCGAAACGCTCTCCTTTGTGCGCACGTTCTCGAGCTAAGGCATGTGTATGAGTTCGCAACTAAGCCGCATGCTTCATTTTTCGTCCTGCACATGAAAATAGTGTCACTAAAAGTCCGAGGGCGTTCCGGCTCTTTCTGGCGCTTTTTGCGCTTTTTCAGCGCTTTTGGGCTTTTTTCGGCGATGTATGATGAGTCTCTCAAAATTCTTACACTTTGCATTAAAGCGATTGTCTGACACGCAGATTATGCGCATTCTGAAAATGTTTTAGTATGCTTCCTCAACTTTTCGCGGGCCCCGAAATTTCAGAGAGAAAGGGCGTGGTGTCACCCGGTCTCCCAAAGAAATCTCTTCTATGAGACTAATTGTAAGTTGCATCAGAAAACAAATATATTGCAATCATATAAAAGCATAAACGAGCCATTTGCCATCTCTACAACTCAAGCAAGTAACTATTTCGCCCTCTCTTGTTGAAACCTCGGCATAATTCAACTGTGTCAGTATAATGTAGCCAGCACGACGTTTGAGTGAAGCTATTCATTACATCAGTGGCCTGACGCGTTTCGACTACTCGTGCTGGCTACATTATACTGACACAATTTGAATCAAGCAAGTACTTTCAAAATTTCGCGACCTATTCTCGGGGGGAGGGAAGGGGTGGGGGGGGGGGGTGGGGTTCGCTACGCCATTGTTGGTATGGAATTCCAAGAGGATCTCATATTGAAGCTTTACTTTGCCGAGTGTACAGGATTCGTAATCACTATGGGTACACTCTCTTTTGGAAAGATCCGGCAAAGACTGAATTTTGACTCCATACCGTAACCTATGTGACTTCGCAAAGAAGGCCTTGGCGGTCAACTTGCTCAGAGTTTAGTTTTCAGTGAATTGAGGTTCTCAGGGTGTATAAACTGGAACAGTCCCAAGAAAAACTTTCTTAATATAAGTCGCCATCTTCACTTCAAGGAGACAACACGGCAAACTTCAGGTGGAAGTGGAGACCATATGGTCCACAAATGAAAATCTAAGTGCAATAACAGTCATTTGGGGCTGTACATACCAGCCTTCTATATAGAAAGGGATTCCTGTAGAGGTAACAGCCCGTACAGGCGCGGGCACAGGCGCCCGCGATATATGAAGCCAGCTGGTGATCGGGCTCCTGTCTGTTGAAGAATATGGTCCGATCTGGCAAGTTTGGCCATGTCGGGCACGGCACTCAGACAGCAGAGCCCGACCTGTCGAGATCGGGCTCTGCTGCCGACATGGCCAAATTTGCCAGATCGGATCACACTCCAAATTTTGATAAATCATGGGATTGGCGCTCTCACCTGTCCGGGCACTTCTTAATGATGGCCCGAACAGCGAGTGGGAGATTGATAAATACCACCCCCGGTGCCATGAAGCTGGTTGACAGGCGTCATGGAAGCATTTAACATCAGTTGCAAGCTACACCAGCATCTTCTAATTTAGACGTTTACGGAAACCAAGCGTGATCGGCAACATGGCAAGTGAGGATATAGAAGAACAGCGATGTGATCAAATAAATTAGCGAAAAGACGAAGATGAAAGGGAATACGAAAGCATGTACACACGAAATTTTGTTGCTTGGTCAAGAAACAATAAAAAGCAGACGAGTGCATGAGAGTGAATAAGTATCGTGCAGCTTCCTATATTAGATTTATACATTCCAAGCGTATTCCAACAAAAAATAATTTCGAGTTTAACTGAGAAAAAGTGTGTTGAAGTAAAGTTCCCCAACTTTCTTCTCCATACTATCTGAAGGCGTTTCTATGAAGTAAAGGGGAGTAACGTAAAATGGAGATCACAAAAATAGTGCTCCCCATGACAAATTTTAGCTATGCAGCTTTGCAATAAGGAATGATTTGGCAGGCACAAAAAATCAACACGTTGACGATCGTGATTTAGAGCGAACTCCCACTGACGCTTCTCTCGCATTTGGCGCGGTGCATACGCGCGTATGCATCGCGGTCGTCAACGTATTGATGTTTTTAAGACAGAAGAAGAAACCATACAGCGCCTTACTGAACAAGGGGAGCTGCCTCATGGGTGCTGTTTTCAGTGCTTCAATGCAATGCACGAGCAGGAAAGAGGTTTGCCCGCAATCTGCAGGTATGAACGGGCATACTCCTCACATCAAGCATAAACAGCTATTCTCCCGCAAAGATCGTTGCGTACGAGCCAATGGGCATCGGACCTTTGCAGGTGATCTGCTTGCATCGACCTCGAGAGACATTGAACTTGCTGAATAGCTGAAACAGCTCCCCATTCTCAGAAGCATGCATGTAACGGTTGAGGTAGTCATTTCTGTTATGCATATTCAAATAGAACGGTTTGATGTATAGATGTACAGACACAATCATGTGCTTCTATGACGCTTTCACAACAGGAGGCTGAGACATACTCTGTGTTTCATTGAGAGCGGCGGGTGGAAAGCGGAGCTTCAATTGCCAGTCAAGCCTAGGAAACAATCAGAGAGCACACGAGAGAGAGAGAGAGAGAGAGAGAGAGAGAGAGAGAGAGAGAGAGAGACAGATAGACAGAACCCAGAGTCCATCCACCACCCCTCACTCCTAATGATACAGAGCGTAATAACTGTGACGATCGTATGCAATATCGTGATAGTCACTTGTTGCCTGTTGCGTGTCCATGACCACTGTTCTCTCCTTGCATCAAGCACCTGAATCCTGCAGCCCTGTAGCCCACCTCAAAGCGGCTACCGATTTCGACATGTATGCGGCAGTAGATAATGAACATCCAGTCATAAAATGGACGGTTACTTCAATTCTCGGACGCTTATAGGAGGTTTCTAGTGATAACAATAACAGGATCGAATGTAGTGCGCATCACCATAGAACGATAAAATAAAGAGCAAGGAAGTTTGAAGGCAACGTCCGGCTAGGCAAAACGTAATGTGCAAGACGCCTGCGGTCTAAAGCTCTGGCCCAAATAGCATTGCACCAATCTGCCTTTGAAGCGAAAAGACTGCTTTACAACCTAAGACATGGACGCCTCTAGTGGGCAGCGATTCCTCGCCCGCTCTCCCACTGATTTCAAACTGCGAGCCAGAATGCGCACATCGCTGTTCAAAACACATGATCCCACACAGACTGTGCATCTCAACCTTGGCGGGATACCTTTGATTCAACTGGCTTGGTGACTAAAAGGCGGGGCTTCTTGACCTAATTGAAGCAAGTTAATGAATAGAGACGCGCTGCAGAGACTGTGCGGCGAGCGTGAGCGACCTTAATTAGGTCACAAAGCCCCGCCGTCCACCCGCCAAGCCAGTTAAATCAAAGGTTACGTCGAATTGAAAATCAAGGGCTTCTGAAATAACCCGTTTTCGACATTTTCGTGCTCTCCAAACTGCATTTTCGGAATCAGTGGGAAGGACAAACCCAGGTAAGCGAATGAACTTTTGATCGAAATTTTGCCCGGACGCTGCCCCTAAGATATAAATAGAAACGAAACCACAAGATAAGGATTATGAAATTGTTATCTAAAGCATGTGATGTTCACAGCAAATGAATATCGTTCCACATATAAGAAACCAAAATCTAAGAACATACCGGCTTGAGAGCATCCTTTTCGCTGGTATCATGAACAACGAAGGTTTCCTCCTGAAATTATCAAGAACAGCTTTGCGCAATGCAACAATAAAACATCCATATTGTACCGAGGCTATCTGCTCTCGCACAATACAAAACACAACTTGCCGAGAGCTACTGGAAAAACCTAAAAGGCGGACTACCTTGAGAATACCTACATTGACGGGTGGGCTGCCTCTGAATTATCCACCTTCTGAAGTATCGTTTGAGAGTCTACTATCTGCAGCGAGAGCTGGCTATTCTCTTGTGTGTTGAAAAAGGATTACGCTATCGCATGCCTCGATCACCAACCCCAGAGTGTATACGATTCCTAATCTAGGGAGGCTAGCAGAAATGATATCATTGTATAATATTTACTGAGGTAAGTCTTCCAGCTCTAGGATCCGTTACTCTATCACCGCTATCTGCCGTAACTCCCTGCATGAACAGGTGTTCAACACTCGAAGACACCATCGGCGAAAGTGCTGAGAGTGGTGAGTTATTCATGGTGAAACTCACAACTCAGTGTCTACCTTATATCCGCTGCGATCAGGAAAATAAACGGGATTGTAACTTGCAGAATGTTACCTCAACGATTATGGGAAGTAACTGACGTCATCGATTGACTCGGCCGGCCGCAGAGTCGATCTACAACTTTTCGCCACTTGCGTCCAGGATTGCCTGTGCGAGCGGCCAAGTAGCGCCGTACCGGCGCCGATCGAAGCATAGGAGGCGTGTTCAGTGGGTGCTGGCAGGGCGCTAGCACAGCGTGCACACGACGCTAGCACGGCACCTCCCGGCATGGCGTTGGCACGGAAAACGGTCGGAAGGCACGATCGACGCGAATTTTCGCGAGACGGCGCAGCAATGACGTCAGCCAACAAGAACCAGTACTGTGCAATGTTACTTATGGCATCGAGTCATGTATCTGCGCTCACCCCAACCCCCGTTTTTGGCGCCGGAGACTCTAACAGCAGAGAGTATTCGGAAGCATTGAGTGCGGCAAAGGGCCGACGCGCGCGGCGTACCTCCTGACGTGCAGTCCAGAATCACGCCGCGCGGGGCCGCTTTCCCGCGCGGGTAGCTCAAAATTTGTACCCCAGCAAACTTTCCAGTGCTGAAATAGCAGGGGGGGGCCTAGGGTTGTTTCATACTGCCGCACTGACTGCAGCAGACTGCAGCTGACTGCACTGACCGCAGCAGACTGCAGCAGCCTGCAGCTGACCGCACTGACCGCAACGGCCGCACAATCGCTGCTTCCTTTCGTAAAAGAGAAACTGCTGCGGTCAGTGCGGCAGTTTGAAACAACCCCTAGGGGTGAGGTGGAAAAGATACATGACGCGACGTCATAAGGAACACTGTGCCAGGACTGCTAGCTCTTGTATTGACATCGCCTGGCGAGCCCGCGGTAGCTAGCCTATTGTCAGATCTGACCCCCTGTTCATCGGATCTCGCCTACGGTGCCGGTGGCAGCAAGAACGATGTCAGGATCCTCAGGGCGCCTTTTGAATCGGACAAAAATGACACGTCTGCCCGGACGACACGCCACGGAGACTGCCTCATGCTCTGAGCATACAACGCCAGGACAGTCTCCACAAACGCCGACCTCCACGCTCTTCTCGACGCTGCAAAGCACATCCAGTATCAAGTCATCGCTCTGCAGGAAACAAGTCCAGGAAGAAGGAAGTGCGACAAATGAGTGATGGGACCTCATCATTCTTGGTGAAAAAAGTTCCATTATTGAAAACTTTGTCGTCCACCTATCTATCGTCCATCTTGTCGATTCGCATGAGATCCTATCACCTCGACTAGCCATCCTACGACTGCGCCCTCCACATCAGAAGACCATCAGAATCATCAACTGCTACTCTCCAACATCAGCAGCTGACGACTCAAAACCAGACGCTTTTTACGAAGATGTGGAAGAGGTCGTCCGCAACGAAAAGTCCTTCAAAAAATTTGTTGTGGGCGACTTCAACGGAAAAATCGGGATGCCACTAAAAAAGGAATATAGGATGGGGGAATTTAGATAAAGGCTCTGGAACGAAAACGGCAACCGCCTCGTTGGGCTTCTATCCGCCGCACGACTCTTCCATGGAAATTCCATCTTCATGAAGAAAGAACATCGCCGGTGGACATGGGAATTGCCCAACGGAACGACTCACGCGGAGATCGACACATTCTCACCAACCGAAGGTGGAGCTTGCTCGATGTCTCAGTAGTTCCATCCTTCTGCAGTGGCTCCAATCACCGCCTCCTTCGAGCGAACATACGACTCAGCCGAAGGCTGGAAAAGAAAGTCTGTCACAATGCCGCGAGAAGGAAGGAAGTCGTTTATGACGGTAACAGGCGAGGAGCTCATATAAAGATGTGACTGGCCCATCGAGGAGGACCCAACGTACAACTACAACCAGCTTCTGAAAGGATTGCGAGCCTGCGGAGGGTGCGCCCCAGTGACCTCTGAGAAGAACTTGGAACGCATTTCAAAGACCGCCAAGGAATGGCTCGAAAGAAGATTTCTGAGTTAGAATCCGAATAACCTCTCGAGCGACTGATAGCCAACGCCAGTTGCAGAACATCTTTGCAAGAGGATCTCAGGAAGCACAGGCAAGCTAAGATACTGGAAGCAGCCGAAGGAAGACGAAGTCTCAAGAAGTGCCGAAGGACCTCTGTGAATATCACGTGCCGCTGGCTGCAATTGAACGAAGACTGGACCCCCACTTTCTTCCGCTCATCAAACACCCGTGCCGATGCCCGTTGTTTCCACTGAAGAAGTCACCAAGAATTCTACCTGCTGAAGTGCGTACAGCGATCCAGACCATGAAGACGTCCAGGCTCCAGGACCAGACCATCTTTCCCCAAATTTCTGCGAGCCGGAGGACAACGTCTACACGAGATTCTCGCGTCGCACCTAACATTTGACCTTCAGAAGGAAAGGATTCCCGACCGTGGAGAACGTCAAGAACCATCCGTCTCTTCAAACGGGTGAACGAAAGGATCTTCGGAACTACCGTCCAATATGCCTGTTGAGTGTGCTGCACAAGCTTTCCACGAAGATTATCCTCGCTCGCATATCTAGGACACTGGATGAAGCCCAACCCCCAGAACAAGCTGAATTTCGCAAGGGATTCAGCTGTATGGACCACATCCAGACGGTTTCGATGGTCGTAAAAGTCTGCCGGTAGTACCGATGCCTCTCGTCCTAACCTTCGTCGATTACGAGAAAGCCTTTGACAGCGTCGAAACCAACGCCTGTCTGCGCTAGTCGATCAAGGAGTGGACCCAGCTTACGTGAGGACGTTAGCCGCCGGCTTTAGCCACCCACGTTAGCCGCGCGCTCTGAACCAGTAGAAGGCTCTACAGGATCAGAAAAGCTTCTCCGCAAAACCCAAGACTCGAACTGGCAGGACACACAAGGTGGAGATTTTGGGATTGCAGTGCCTGCGAAAGTGGACCCCTCGAATTCGCCATCGCGCAACTTCGAAGCCGCAACGTTTGACCTAAACCAAGAAATGCGGTCAGAACTTATTACGCCCTGGGCATGGTGGACGGGTCAGGAGTTACGCCTTTTCGTGAAGAAGTGCCGCAACGCAACGACGAGCAGTCTAAAAGTTAGCTCCTGCCTGTACTCCTGTCGCAATGCTACTTAGAGGCAGTGTTCGGGCAAAAACTCGATTTTGAGATTTTGTGCTTACTTGGGCCTATTCGCTACGCTGAATCCGAAAATGCACATTGTAGAGCGCGAAAAGGGCGAAAAACTGCTCTAGCGCGGGAGGGAAACAGCAGGTGGGCGGGCCCTCCCCACTGCGAATTCACGTTCCCGGCTTCCGGAGCGACCTTCTTGCTTCCGGTTTCAAGTCAATTATTCGCACTTGACCGGTGGTGATGTTAGGACGGCTAGCGGAATCGAGAAAATCGCTCCGGGAACCGGGAGCGTGAAATCGCACTGGGGAAAGCCCCGCCCACCTGCTGATTTCCCTCCTATGTTAGGGCCCTTTTTCGCCGTTTTCGCGCTTTCCAATGTGGATTTTCGGATTTAGCATGGCGAATAGGCCCGTATAAGCACAAAATCTCAAGATCGAGTTTCTGCCCGGACACTGCCTTTAAGGCACCGAGTAATGCATCTCCCGCCACCGCTCACCCCTAGACCGCCGCGCCACTTTAGCACCGGAAAATTTTGTGGGTCACTATGGACCACAAATTTCGGGAACGGCGTGCGTGGAAAGCGAACGCCGTGAGCCGTGTGATCTACCAGCCCGTCAGCGGCGCAGGCCTCTCCATCTATTGAATCCCTGCTTTGCAACAAAGTAAAGGCTGATGCATGACGAAGGCGCACAAGCAGCATTAGTTGAGCGGGCGCGAATGCTGCGAGCGTATCTTCACCATTGTAAACCCTGCGCCTCATGTACTCTGCGGCTAATGAAACCGCGTTCGCGTCCAAAGATATTGCGTCTTCGTCTTGCAGCAGCCTATGCGCAAGACGCTACTGAAAATGTAGGGTGTCGCAACGATTCTGCCTCTCAGCCTTGGCAAGAACCGTCTAAAATCATACTGAGCTTTGTTGCGTGTTGTCGTCGGCGCGCCTAACATGGATTTCCGGATTCCGTTGCGGATGAGCCCAAGTAATGATTGAATTGGGAGATGGAAATTTGAAGAAAGGAGCAGTAAAGCTGGGTTCGTACTGATCCAGAAGTTCTGGAACAGTTTCCAGGGCAGATTTCGCACTGTGTTGAAACTATGCAAAAACTGTGCTCTAAGCGCTACAGCCGCCAGCATGCGGTTTTGAGTGGCGGAAGTTAGAGATTTTTGACTTTCCAACGGTTTCTCTTTCAGATTTCACTCATTTCAATCTCATTCCTGTAACCCACTTCTCACTGTGATGAGAAAAGCTGCGAACGAAGCGGGGTTGATGAATAAACGTTGTTCTGTTCCATTTATCCGGGAAGATATGTCTTCCTGCGCTGGTCCCTTTTCACTTCGTTATTTTCGTTCAGAACTAATTCATGTGTTCCAAAAACCGCCATGTGTTTTCCACAGGCATCTGTCTAAAGCTAGGCTTTTCTCTAATAAGTCTTTCTCTAGTCTCTAACTAAAGGTGCTAACCTGCATCCGCGCGCTTTGGGCCCGCACCGCGGTTTCCCGCTATTGGAACAATTTGAATTGAGCTAACAATTCTTTACATATTAGATTCTCCATATATTAGATCGCTGCTTATCCGTTCTTTCTTCTACCCCGCCTGTGATGAGAAAAGCTGCGAACTTGAAGCAAGTTCGAAGAAGTAACGTTGTTGTGTTTCATGTATCCGGGCAGATGGATCTTCGTACGCCGTCCATTCTCTCTTCGTTATTTTTGTTTAACTGCATGTGTTATGAAGCTGTCTATGCCACTCTCAATACAGATGCGTAACTACGCAGCGGCTTCCTGGAATATGAATTAGGTATGAATACGGAAAATGGACTAGTTCAGGTTTCCCGAACATGTGGAGCTCAACAACGTCCAATCTTCAAACCCGCTTCAAGTTTGCAACTTTTCTCATCATAAGAAGAAGCGAGTTAGAGGAATGAGACAAGAAAATCTCTGACTCCCGCCTCTCAAAACCGCGTGCGAGCGGCTGCAGCGCATGCAACACAATTCCGGCACAGTTCAGCACAGTGCTGGAACTTTCCGGAACTTCCGGATCGGTTGGGGACCAGACACTCGTCCCCAACCCGTTTTTAGCGGACGACTGGCCTTCGCTTGCAGGCGCGCGGGAGTTGCTCCCCACGCAACAGCACGCAGCGGATGCACGTAATCCGCCGAATACGGTAACGGAGTCCAGTTTGTAGACGAATATCCCAGACACAGATGCACCACCTGCTCTGCCGCTTGGGCAATGTCTTAGCTAGAACTTCGGAATCACTTAGCACCATACCAAGACTAGGCAAGCAGCATGGCTCCTAGGGCGGATATCAAGGCAGTCACAACCGCTGCTCTGTTGATCTTTAGTTTTCTTGTTTCTTTTGAATGTCAGGATTACAGAAAAATTATCAAGTAAGCGAGTCCGCAAAAATGACATGAATTGACTTAATACGCGGCAGTGACCGCAGGATTTCCGGAAAGGGAGGGGAGAACGAAAAATTCTTGGCTAAAGGTGCGTGGCATTAGCCAAGCACTCCTGAAATCTTTTGATTTTGGGATGCTTCCATTCATTCGAAAAGTATTGTGTGCCCAAGACCGCGAAATTTGGAAAAAGAGGCTGGCGGCACTCTTCGCCACGATACGCGGATATATACTCACTTTCGGACCATCCTTGGTATCCAGATGGAACGTTAAATCGATCGACCAAAGAATGGCGTCAGAAGCAACATCATATCGAGACGCTGAAATTCGAATAAGACAGTCAAAAGCGAAGTAAGACAAAAAAAAACGGCAGCAATGTGAGCAATGTCAGAAAATTTTTTGAAATAGATGAACAAAGATACCACCTTTCCATGATTGCAACATATACAATACAGTCCGTAAAGAGACCGGACCGATAGTTTGGCAGCGACGTTCCTCCGTAGTTTGGTGGCGTCAAGCAAAAACTCAGATGATTTCGTGATTTCGATTATAAGGACAATGATAAATTGGGACCTTGGAGGGGGGATGCGTCACGCACGCAGTTCAACTGCATTTTTTCACTTTCATCTCCATTCGAAAAGGTATTTGCCTGCCGTGACGGACCGAGGGGGGGGGGGCTGGAGCGGGAGAGGCGCTCGCAAAGTTTTTAAAATTTACTCACATGGGTTATAAGAAATGTGCAAGTGACTTGTTTATTCTTGTAAATGATTCAAATAATTTTGAAATTTTTTAAAAATTCAAATTAGCCTTGTAAAAAGAATTTTTTTTGGAGGCGTAACGGCAGCCGCGCCCCCCTTTTCTAGATTTTAGAGATCATGGACCCGCAAAAATTCTGAGAAGCACCTCAAAGATTTTCTCGGAGCCCCACCCCCCTTTCCGGACGGAAATGCTGTGACCGGCACTGTTGCCTGTATATGTGATTTCTAGATATTTAGAGTGAACTAGCTGGCTTACCCGGCTCCGCCGTATGTTCCGAATAGTAGATTCCATTTCTTAACCGATCGGGACCAAACTTAGCACACATACACTTCGGGCCCCGGCGGGTGTCAACAGGGGGTTAATCGAGCATGCTGATCACCCCCACGGGGGTGATCAGCATGCTCGATTACCCTCCTGTGCCAACTCCTAGCTCAAATTTTGCAAAAAATCGATAAAATCGATATCGATCGATGACGAAAAGTAGCCTATGACACCCGCCGGGCCCGAAGTGTATGTGTGCCAAGTTTGGTCCGGATCGGTTAGGAAATGGAATTTTCTATTCGGAACATACGGCGGAGCCGGGTAAGCCAGCTAGTGTTATAATATATTAGGTCGTTCCATAAGTTCGTACCGTTTTAAAACCGACAAAATCATCAATTCATAGTAAAACCAATCAGAATTATATTCTTCGTTGTAGCGCACGACCTTTCAACACATTCTTGTTAAAAGATATATAAAGCTGAATGTCTGTTTGTATGTCTGTCTATATGTCTGTACGTATGTTCCGAATAGAAAATTCCATTTCTGAACCGATCCGGACCAAACTTGGCACACATACACTTCGGGCCCCGGCGGGTGTCATAGGCTACTTTTCGTATCGATCGATATCGATTTTATCGATTTTTTGCAAAATTTGAGCTAGGGGGCTGGGATTTGGCACAGGTGGGTAAGTGAGCATGGGGATTCCGAGGAGGATTTCGGTGAGTGATGATTTTTCTAGTGATTAAGGGCCTTTTTACGTTTTGGGTGCGATGATGAGATAACACATCTCGAAAATTGAAGGCACCGTCCACCCAGATTCTCGACTTCCAAATTTTGTTGTTCTGGGAACTTTTCCTGTCCCTGTTTTTCCACTTCGAAAATCTACGAAAACGCCGACAACCAGCGTTCCGAGAAGTACGCGGGGCGCGTTGAATGGGCGGCCACTACTGGTGAGTCAGGGGGGGGGGGTGGCCTTGCCAACTAGGAGTCTCATCTATTCGCTTTCCGCGATTTTCCCGTTTCCGAAGCGACGACATTTTGCGCCACGACTTGAGCATTGGCTTGATAGGGAGGCAATGCTACCGTATGCCTTTAAAAGCCGTCCACCCTAAGTTGAGGTTGTTGAGCTTTTGGCAGCATATAATAGTTGGCCCCCCCCCCTATTAATCCAATGCCCAAGTCGCAAAATGCCGCTTCGGAAGCGAGGAAATCACTCCGGGATAGCAAAGATTCACAAGGAATAGTGGGCGAGGTGTTTGTCTCAGCAAAGTGAACGGAAACGGCTAAAGTGGCTAGTTCACCAGAGGCAACGATCCAAGGCATCCCAGACTCTACGTCTAGCTACCATCAATGTGGGTACACTCACCTCTCGTTCTCAAGAAGTAGCAGATCTTCTGAAGAGATGGGAAACGATGTAGCTTGCATACAGGAAACGAAGTGGACGGGACAAAGTCGCGCGACATCGGAGATGGATATAAGCTTCTCTACAACGGTTCCAGCAGCAACAAAGATGGAGTTGGTATATCTGTATCGAAAACTCTAAGAAGTAACATAATCGAGTTGGACGCATGAGCCATCGTCTAATAAGCGTAAAGGTAGGTACTGGGAAACAAGTCCTAGAGTCATCACCGCCTACGCACCACAGGTCGAACGTAAGAATGGTAAAAAGGACGCGTTTTGGCAGGGGCTCGATGACCACCTCAACTCAATCCCACTGGATGAGACACTCCTGCTAGAAGCGGACTTTGACGGACATGTAGAAGAAAGGCGGGGAGGGTTGGCATGTGTCACGGAAAGCGCGGACATGGGACATTCCTGAAAAAGGTTAGCGCATTCTAGATCGCCTCAGCTCATGATCTGGTCTTGGCGAACACATACTACATCAAGAAGAATGACCACCTCATTACATATAAGCCGTACCAACCAGCATCGGTCATTGGTCATTGTAAGACCGACGAACCCAGATACACTTTTGAGCTATCCGACAGAACCCAGATACACTTTTGAGCTATCCGACAATGTGATTCCAAACACATAAAGAACTGCAAAGTCACCGGTGAAAGGCATACCTCAACATAAACCACTGCTTCTCGACCTACCTCAGATTCTCGATCAACAGGCACATCAAAAGATCTACAAAGATAGGATAAGCATCAAATGACGGAATTTACAAACCGACGACGCGGCAAAGCAAGCACTACTAACAGCTCTCCCAAGCCTGCAAGAGAACCCAAAGCAATCCTGTGTAAGCTTGAAAGAGCGGGTCCAACAAGTGGCACGCGTGGTCATAGATAGTACAAACCCAGGAAGAAAAAGAATCGATCGGAAACGTGGTGGAACAATGGAGTACAAATGGTATTAAGAGACGAGGAGAATGCGTGCAGGCGAGGAGGCCGATCGTCAGACATACCAACAAGCCAAACACGCAGTCTCCGGTGAAAAAAGCAAAACAGGTGTATACGAAACAGAAGAAGGGCAAACTCCAAAGTATAAGAAGCACTTCCTCCATATCAAAGACAAACTTGGTAGAACGCTTAGAACAACGGCGGACATCAATGAAAGATGGAGAACCTGCTTCGAAGAGATGGCTACCAAAGGCCGCATCGTTAAGACCATCCCATAAGCTTGTCCCACAGAAGGACCAGTACCAGCAGTCACGGAAGAAAGGTATGGCTAGTTATAACAAAAAGAAGAATGGGAAAGCAACTGGACCAGATGACATACAATGGGAAGTGTGTGGACAAACCGGAGCCTCCTGGCTATCAGGCCTTCTCAATCAGATCATAAGGAGCAAGAGTATGCCTCATGATTGGTATGCCAGCACAACGATTCCAATATGGAAGAACAAAGGGAGACTGCGCAACCTACCAGCCAAAGCGACTGATGAGCCACACTCAAAAGATTTTCGAGCTAATAATCGAAACGCGGTTTCGAGATATCATACAATTGTCAAAAATCGAGCGGTTTTGTAAGAAATAGGTATGACCGAACCCATATTTCCTGGACTTGATAGGCGCCCCATGAAGTCATATGATGGGCTCTAAGGAAGCACATGTTTCCAGAACAGCACGTCCAGTGGATGAAGTCAATCTACCACAACGCTTCAAGTCACGTACAAACCGCTGCGGGGCAATCGAAAGTTCCGAATCAGGGTTGGAGTACATCAAGGGTTAATTTTCTCCCCCCTTGCTCTTCATCACTGTGATGAACGCCGTGATGGAACCGCTTAGACGTTAACCTTCTTTGACATTTCTCTACGCAAATGAGGTGCTTGCTAGCAAGCACCAAAAAGGAGTAAGACGAGGTACAGAAGTGAAAAGACAGGTTAGAGTTGCGTGGGCTGAACCTCAACACCAAGAAGAGGAGTACAGGTCATTTACAAAATCGTGACGACGGATTCGACTACGATCTTTGCGCCCACACGAGCAAAAAACTCTCATACAAAAAGGCATCACCTCAACACTCAGCTCAGTCACTTCCAGTGTCTAAATGCTAACACATGTATGCAGGAGAACCATTCGAGTAGAGATGAAAACCAAGAAAATAACGGTTGCTGGGTAGGCGGCGCGGTCGCGCCATCGTCACGATTTTCCGAATCCCCTATATATGGAAGTGGGAAACAAAATCAGCGCATATGTATCGACAGTAAAGAGCTAAAGAAGGCAACGTCATTCAGTACTTAGGTAGTAACAACTCAGCAGCGGACGGCTTGCAAGAGGAAGTCGCAGGCAGAATAAAGGCAGGTCGTTGAAATGGAAAGCCTTAAAGGCAGTGTCCGGGCAAAAACTCGATTTTGAGATTTTCTGCTTACCCGGTCGTATTCGCTATGCTGAATCCGAAAATCCACATTGGAGAGCGCGGAAACGACGAAAAAGGGCTCTAGCACTGAAGGGAAATCAGCAAGTGGGCGGGATCTTCCCCGCTGTGAATTCACGCTTCCAGCTTCCAGAGAAATTCTCTCGAATCCGTTAGCCGCCCTGACATCACTACCGACCAAGTGGAAACGAATGACTTGAAACTGGAATCAAAAGGATCGTCCCCGAAGCTGGGAGCGTGAATTCACCGTGGGGAAGACCCCGCCCACTTGCTGATTTCACTCTAGTATTAGAGCCCTTTTTCGTCGTTTTCGCGCTCTGTAATGTGGATTTTCGGATTCAGCATAGCGACTAGGCCCGGGTAAGCACAAAATCTCAAAATCGAGTTTTTGCCCGGAAACTGCCTTTAAAGGCAGTGTCTCACCAAAATTTAGTTGCTGAGTTTTTTGCATTTTGCAAGCCTGTCGGACCCTGTCTAGCACTTT